AACTATACTGCAAATGCTTACTTTGTGTAATGGCTTGAGCCGCCCATGGTCTTCCAGATGTGGTGTATTGGTGGTGGGGCCATAGGTGGCTGTGGAGCCCTATTCCTGACCCGCATATTCTCCCACAATGAGGACATTGGTTTCCAGATGGAAGGAGGTCCCAGTCCAGGTTGGCTTGATATGTCTTCCTCTTGGCACGTTTGTCTCTTTCGCCCTCCATTCATGCCACTTCAAATTCTACAGCACTGTTGGTCACAGCTGACTTTCAGCTGGAGCGCTCAACTATACATCCCAGTAACTACAACTCACATATGTCAAGGTCTATTTTCCCCCAAGAGCGCCTCAAGAGCGCCCCTGGGAAAAATCAACTATACTGCAAATGCTTACTTTGCGTAATGGGTTGAGCCACCCCTGAATACATCCCCACTCATCTCCCATTATAAATAAGTCAGAGTCAGTCATGATTGATGGGTGTGAGCTAGTGGGCTTAATCTAAGATTAAACATGTTAGAATGGTATATTTATGAAAGTGGTGAAGCTGGATTAAATATCTAATTTGAATTGGGTTTTGAAGCAATGATTTGGAATTGTTCTCTTGCACTTTTTTTTGAATGCAAACTGAAATCTTGAGTATTCACATTGTCCATAATCTTCCATGGAAAATTGAAATGATGGCAGAAAAGCATTGTCGTACTGAAATAACCTTTCCATGTATTAAGCAGAATAAGTCTTTCTGAAGAGTGAGTACTAGCTGCTGTGACTGGCTAGTCAGGTAAAATAAATGCCATTTGAAATTATGTTTTTCCCCCTACTGGGTTACTATCAGTGATGTAAATGTGGTCCTTGTGCATGAAGACTTATGCGATGCTTGTCCATGGACTACCAGAGATCTGCAAGATTGAAAATATGTTGCATGGCCTCATCATTACTACACCATTGCCTTGAAACCATGCAGCAACAAGAGCGACTGGTCTCACGAAACCCTCTTATAGTGCCGAGGCAACAGAGATGTCAGGAAGGGAGAGGCTGACTACTCATGAAAGATTACTACTACCACAGTAGTTCTAGATTATTAAATATGGTTTGCGGTGGGTGAGCAGATGGCGACTACTGGATGGCATATGTTCTGTATCAGAAACTAGAGCTGGTGTGGTCTATCCAATGCAATTTTCTGAACCAGCATCCCAAATAACCAAACTGGATCTAAAGTTGACCAAAAACTGATTTTTAACCCTTTTGGTACTAATGTTGGAGGGTGGTCCCTGTTCAAGTAGTACCAGGTCAAAAAATGGTTGGAAACCACTGATCTAGACAAATACATACAAGGGAAAAACACACACAAATCCACATCAATCAGTCCATGAATCAAGAGTTACACTTAAAGAGTGTGCTTGTGTCTATGTTAGCCACACCATTTAATAAACGTCATACTGAGTTTTTCTTTTGTCTCTAAGGTTTATGCCATTTATAGCTTTATTTATGTCAATGGACATGTTCTGATACAGTTTTTGATATAAAGGTCAAATTTGCAAGCACAATTAAAATTTTGATATGCATCAGAAAGTGATTACTGATTGAAATCTTTGAGTTTTGTTGACACAGGATTGCAAAGGCAGTGTCCTGGTTAGCTTTGACAGTGAGAATGAGTGGTTGGAGCGACAAACCAAAAGCTTTCAACAGCCTGTGGAAGGAGAGCCCTTAAAGGTAGCCACCAAGTCCCAGCAGGAAGACCAAGCAGACCCCAGCACTCAGGGGCAGGCTGCTGAAGGGTTAACTGATTCTTCTCATGGGGAACTTCACAGATGGCAAGCTCAATTATGCAGGTCTGCCGGATTAGCTGAACAACAGGCTACCCACAAACAAGACCAGTAGCCTTAACATAAAAGACTCGAGGTCACAGACTTGTTGCTGGAGGCAACGTCATTCTGGATGGTGTTATGAACTTGTTTTGTGACTGGCTTTGTGAACCTTGGACCGGACTTGGACTTAAGTTCATAGGATTTTGTCTTGCACTTAGTTATACTGTTATTTACCTTTTTTTAACCTCAAGACCTGGACCATTCAGATTGTGTTTAGTCTGAGTCTCTGCGTATGGCTTTTGGACTTGGATATTGTGCACAAACAAGGCAGCATCACAATAGATGGGCAAGGCAAAATGAACTATATACTGGGCACACAGTTTATTTAGACTGTGACACAGGTATCTAGCATCGTCTCTTGAAAGTATATTTTATTGCCATGGTTGAATATATAGACTTATTCTATAAGACTTGAGTTGTTTGTTATGCTGCGTTAAAGTTCAATGAAGCATGTATGTGTAACATATTAAATGTAAATAAACATTATAAATATATTACATTAATAAATATAAATATTAATTTTTTGTCATGATTTAAATTGACCTATTTTATTCTAAAACCTGTAGAGCAGTACTCTGTCCTTAACCTTAGTGGTAGGTAAAGGGCCCCACTAAAGATTCTGGCCTGGAGGTCCACTTCAGTATATGAGAGCTATGTCTTGGGAAAGATCCAGTTTTGACAGGCAGCTCTGCTGGGAGCTCTTCAGCCCAGACAGTGGGTTTCCATAAAGTGGGCAGGCAAATGGGATGGAGGCTGGGCTTGGGCACCTGAAGGATTTCCTGCATATCCCAAGTGGAAAAGTATTATACAGTGATTGGCTACAGTTCGTTTCTTGGCACAATTCAAAATTTTGGTTATGTCCTTAACTCTTTATGCTTGGGTCTGGATTATCAGAAAGCTATATCTCTAGATACAAATCTGCTTGTGTTTTAAGATCTATAGGTTACGCCTTTCCCTCAGCCTCACCCTCATCACAGGGTCTCTTAGGAGTGATCTTACTCAATGACTTCTTCTACCTTCTGCAGGAGACATAGGCCCCTTCTGCACTGCCATGTAATCCAGATTATCAAATCAGATAATCCACATTATCAGTTTTGAACTGGATGATATAAGTCTACACTACCATATAATCAAGTTCAAAGCAGATAATCTGGATTTTATATGGCAGTGTAGAAGAAGCCTAAGGATGGTTTTGAACAGTCAATTTAAAAGAACCAGTTCCATTGTGGCGTGCCTACACAATTGTCCCAAGAACCAGTTTGAGGCTGGGGTGGTAGCTACAGTATCCACTGGATGCTGATAGGAACTGGAAATAGGAGTGTTTTTTCCACTACCCATTCTGCCAGGATATAGTGTTTACATTGCCATGGCTGTTTGAGATCAGTGCTAGACCATGGCAGGGCACGGGACATGGATGCAGAGACGAGGAAACCCATGCATTCATAGAATCATAGAGTTGGAAGAGACCTCATGGGCCATCCAGTCCAACCCCCTGCCAAGAAGCAGGACAATTGCATCCAAAGCACCCTCAACAGATGGCCATCCAGCCTCTGTCCCCAAGGTAACAATGTACTTTCCTTTTGGGGTGGGATCCTAGTTTTGCTTCCAGCTAGCTGTTTTTTAATTGTGTCAGCGCTAGCCCTATCCTGAGGCGTGTTCCACCCTAAACTGTCTGTGCTTTTCTTTCATCAGTAGGCAAATACGTTTTTGTTCAAGCAAACCTTTAATTTATAACTAAAGTGGTCATTTGGATATTTTATTCTAATTTTGTGTGCTTTCAATTTATTTTAAAATCTTTCATAAGTCCAATTTTAGTTTTTTTTTCACATTTTATTCTAAACAGTTTTGAATTTACCATTTCCAGAAGCCAACTTGGGCCTGAGAGAACGATGGTGGCATCTTAAACAAATACTGTATATACTCGAGTATAAGCCTAGTTTTTCAGTCCTTTTTTTAAGCTGAAAAAGTCTCCCTCGGCTTATACTCGAGTCAAAGTTTTTTATTATTTTACTCTATTATTGTTATTATTATTATTATTATTATTATTACATTAATCATTTTACTCTATTATTATTACATTTATTATTTTATTCTTTTATTATTGTTATTATTACATTTATTATTTTACTCTATTATTACTGTTATTATTACATTTCCATTATTTTACTCTATTATTATTGGAAGGATATGTAAACACATTTACACTGAAGAAGGTTAGAATAATGCTTTAATCAGAGGACAGTCTTATCTTAACGTACAGTTTGATTCAAAAACATTTAACCTACCGATGCCTCAATTAATGCAATGTTATTAGTATCTATTTTTATTTTGGAATTTACCAGTAGCTGCTGCATTTCCCACCCTCGGCTTATACTCGAGTCAATCCGTTTTCCTGGTTTTTTGTGGTAAAATTAGGTGCCTCGGCTTATATTCAGGTAGGCTTATACTCGAGTATATACGGTAAATGAAACCCTTTTTCTTATTATGCCAGACAGGCCTGTCTATAACTGAAGCTTGGATGAATGCTGTTGATAGTAGTGGAGGAAGAGGAGGGAAGGAGGAGGAAAGAGAGGCTTCATTGTGAAGTTGTGAAAAAATGCTATGGAAGCAACCACATCTTTGATAATTGCACCTTAATGGGAGTTTTCATTTAGATATTTAAACTTTCACATTTTGCAAATCTGGCCTAGTTCACAACTTGAACAAAAGGTGCATGATCTCAACAATTACAAAACATGGGGACCTTTTCCCTCTTCTTCTCAATGGGTCATTCCTCTGCTTGACCGTGTTTTGCTTTTCATTGGAAACCCATGTGTTTCTCTTGCTATTTCTTAGGTAACCCCTGATGACTTCTTCTGAGATGGGAAACAACATGGTTTCTCCTTCACTGTTGCACACAGAGGAAAGAAGAATATATGGTTACTACCCTATAATTATGAAAAATAACTACCTCCCAGCGCTCTAGAAAGGTGAGAGAACAATGGAAAACAGTGTGCTCAGAGTGACGATTAGTATTAAGACTCCTAGTATTAATATTCAGAGTGGAGACAGACACAGTTCCATTTGCAGTTCTTGTGATCTGGCATACAGAACGCATTGACAATGTCGGAGGAATAAACCGGAGGTGGATTGGCATATAATATGTTCCTCCTCACTGTATCTGTATCCATCGTCCTGCTGCACATCTTGTGCAATAAGCCTGCTGCTAAATGTAGTGCTGGTCATCCTCTCTCTATTAAGCACAGGCAATACCATTCAGGAGATCTGATCATTGCTGGCATTATTTCTCAGATCTACACCTTCTCTGAGCTGATGACATTTAGAAGACACCCTTCTGCAGAACCACTTGATGAGCTCATGTACGGGGTATCAATTTGTATTCATCCCTTAAGAATATAGAATAGCTTTAAGCAAGATGATCTGGTATAATTTTAAATTTTGTATGTCAGTAGGGGAATATGCAATCTGTACGTCTTCTGCTTTGGGACCACATGATTGTTGTCAGTTACACTGCTGGTGCTGATGCTGATCTTTATTACTTGTTAAATTCATCTTCATATCCGCTATTCAAGGGTAGAATTAATGCAATTTGACACCACTACCTGCAATGGCTCAATGCTATGGAAGACTGGGAGTTGTGGTTTCATTGGGAGTTGTAGTTTTATGACACACCAGAACCCTTTGGCAGAGGATGTTGAAGACCTTGTAAAACGACAGCTCCAACAATTCCATAGCAGTGAGCTATGGTCTCAAACTGCATTCATTCTACAGTGTAGATATACTCCAAGTCTTTTTCCTGAAGCTGGACCAATGGTTGCTTTAGAAACTCCTACATTACAATGGCAAGTATTGAAGGGAATAGTTTTGAGGCTTCTTGTGAGTTGGAAGCTATTATATAGGTATAATAAGAACATTGATAAAGTTATATCAAGGCCAATTTTGCAGGATATTCTTGGGGTGCTCATAGGAGGACTTGAAAAGTGTCTCCATCTTCACCTCCACCTCCTTTGAAGGTATAGAGTTGGTACCTTAAAATATATTCGTCTTACTAGCCTAATGAAGCTGACCTTCTGTATCTAAAGTTCCTAGGGTTTTCCAAGTGAAATAAGGGATAAGGATCTTGCCTTTGAATGAATGTTAGAAGAATTTCAGCAAATGTTGCATTTCATGCAATCTCACTGTTAATGTTGTTGCTATTTTTACCCTCCCTGCTGGTACCCATATCTCCTTTTATTTTCTGCGATCTTCCATTAATATTGCATTTCCATTTCTTCTTCTCAATAATGCAATTTTTGGCTTTACCCTTGTACAGGCTCGTGTTGAAATATGACTGTTAGTCTCTCATTTAATAATTTGTCTAGGTTAGAAATCCATCAGACAAAAGAGAGATTCCATAGGCATTAAAATGTCAAATAAAGCAGTATCTGTTCTATGTATTGTTGAAGGCTTTCGTGGCTGGAATTACTGGGATGCTGTGAGTTTTCTGAACTGCATGGCTATGTTCCAGAAGCATTCTTTCCTGACGTTTTGTCCACATCTATGGCAGGCATCCTCAGAGGTTGTGAGGTCAACCTCTGAGGATGTCTCACAACCTCTGAGGATGCCTCTATACATGTGGGTGAAATGTCAGGAAAGAATGCTTCTGGAACATGACCATACAGCCCAGAAAACTCACAGCAACCCAGTATGGGTTCTAATTTAATGTGGTGCCATGTTTGTATTTGTGGCCCGCAAATCTGTCTGCTATATTCACATAAGTCCTTGATTCTTTGTACTATGTTCACTATTTTTATGCAATATCAATCACATCACATTCAAATAGTAGCAGAGATCATATTCTGAAGTATTCACTATTGTTCTTATTCTTATTATGTTTATTTACTTTGCACTTTATATGTTTTTAACTCTGTTATTAATCTGTGTATTTATTTGCTTAATCTGTTTTAATTGTGCAGTTGCTAGAATATGTTTTAATGTGTTTCTATGGCTGTGTCTATATGGCATTGAATTTTGCCAGAGCTGTAAGCCGCTTTGAGTCTCCCAAAGGGGTGAGAATGGTGGGGTACAAACAGAGCAAATAAATTTATTTATACTCTTCTTTATTTCTACCGAAGGAGACTCAAAGCTACTTATACTGAACGTATTACCACACATGTTTCCATACAAATATGCAAACATGACAAAGGTTTTAACTCTCTTTATAGGTTCTTTAGTCAAAATTACCAGCACATCCTGGCTTTGGAGTTTGCTGTACAGGAGATCAATGAAAATCCCCATATCTTACCTAATATCACCCTGGGAATCCATGTCTTCAACAATTATTTCATGGCAAGCTGGACCTATCTAGCTTCAATGGTACTTATCTCTACCCATGACAGATTCATCACAAACTACAGATGTGATGACAAGGACAACACCGTTTCTGTTATTGTGGGTCCTAACCCCCAGTTTTGTCAGTACGTGGCCAACATTTTGAACCTCTACAAGGTCCCACAGGTAAGACATAGTCATTAAATTTTGGACTCCAAGAAATTATTCACTCCATCTTTACGGTTTAGACCACTTTTGTATGGTTTCAAGATAGAAACCAGCTGGCTATAAAGAAAAAAATCAGGCTACCTGGGCTATATTGGGGATTTTAGGTAATCTATGCAGCAATTGCTCTTTTATTCACTCCTGATGTTTTGTAAAAATGGAAATGGTAGCAAACTCAAATGCAATCTGATGGTATTTCCCTGGGTCAGTCCTAATATTATTCAATGGCTCCTTAAATTAAGGAAAGGTTTACAAGGTTCTTTATGTTAAGAAGGAAGTCAATGATTACCAACACCAATTTACACAAATTCAACATCTGCCAGGAAACTGAGATGAAGCAAGGATGTTTCAGAATGGAAAAACATCTATCATTCATTTAAAACTTTGGAACAAAATCAGCAAAAATATTGCTATACATGAGACCTTATTACAATCCAAAAAAGTATGATAGCCAGCTGTGCTTGGGAAGGAGAGATATGGTGTACCTTGGGAGTGTCAGATATGCAACGGGAAGGCAGGATTCTGGACACTTTTTTCAAGGGATGAGAAAGAAGTGCGATTTTGGAGTCATGTTAGGAAAAGAGGATGCATTTTGGCATTTTGGAAGTTCTGGAAGTATTGTAATTATGCTTTGGCAGGCTGCAGGGAAAGCAGAGTCTGGCCTAAAAGATGTTCTTCTCCAGAAGACAGTGGGAGAAATGGAGATGTATGCATTAGGATGAATGAATGTGTGTGAGTAATGTGAATGCTGAGCGAAAATGTAACCCCCCCCTCTGTTTGTTAGCTAATGTAACTGTAGGTTGTTTGTTGATTCATTGTAGTTACATAGAATCTGTATGCCAGCATGTCTAAATGTTGTTCTGTAAAAGTTCTGATACCTTTTCTCTTACTGGAAAATTTCAATTAAAAATGGTTTAAAGTTATTGAAAAGTTCTTCATAACAAAAAGGGGTCTCTTATCCCTTAGCTAGTACTAACAAATAAAATATTCAATGCCATTTTTCTTCTACAGTTAGGCCAGGTAAATCTCTTTGGCTGACCTTTCAACATCTATTGATGACTTGGAGGAAATGTTACTGTTTGTCTATGGTAATAATGCACGCACACTGTGAAATAAAGATGTGAACACTTATATTATTTATATTGTTTTCTTTCTGTTTTCTTTCCTAAGCTCATATATGGATCTTCCCCTGTGGTGAATAGCAATGCCCAAGCTGCTTCACTCCACCAGATGTTCCCAAATGAGTACCATCAAAATGAGGGCATTCTCCATTTGCTCTTGAATTTCAAGTGGACTTGGGTTGGCATGGTTTATATAGGTAATGACAGTGGTGAAAAATTTGTACATGACATACTTCCCATGTTCCATCAGAATGGTATCTGCTTTGATTTTATAACAGAATTACCCAGAGACTCTTCTTCCACAAAAATTGAAAATTTAGTGTTCAAGTTTTATGAAATGTATTGGATTATTATAAGAAGCACCTCTAAGGTTGTTATCTTATATTGTGAAAATCAATGCATAGTGGTTTTGAGAATTGTCTTCCATGGTGCAGAATTTGAGGAGTTGCCATCCAAGAGCTATGTCTGGGTCATGACAGCTCAGATGGAATTTACCACTATTCCTTTTCAAAGAAATATTGGCATAGACTCCTTCCACGGTGCAATATCTTTTGCAGTTTCTTCAAATGAGGTCCCAGGATTCCAGCAATTCCTTCAGAACATGAACCCTGCTTCAAAAAATCAGGAGAGCTTGATGAAGATCTTTTGGGAACTGGTGTTTCAATGTTCTTTCCCAAGCACTGACTCAAATAAGGACACTGGAAACATCTGCACTGGAGAGGAGAAATTAGAAACTCTTCCTGGGTCTTTGTTCGAAATGACCATGACTGCTCAGAGCTACAGTGTCTACAATGCTGTCTATGCTGTGGCCCATGCTTTGCAAGCTATGCACTCATACAAAGTTAAACACAGTGGAATGCAAGATGGGAGGGGACAGATGCAGCAGCAGCTGTGGCAGGTAGAGTCCTGTGCAATTGGGTGTGGTATTTAGGATTTCCCCATCTTGTACTTTGTCCACATCATATTCAAAGGGTCGGGTGAGTTACCTAGATATTCAACTAGGGCACTGACTCTCAACCTGTGGGTCCCCAGGTGTTTTGGCCTACAACTCCCAGAAATCCCAGCCAGTTTACCAGCTGTTAGGATTTCTGGGAGTTGAAGGCCAAAACATTTGGGGACTCATAAGCTGAGAACCACTGAACCGGGGGCTCATATGCACCAGGAGGTTTACATGCCAGATCCAGGGCAATTGTCCAGATGGCTGAAGACCACATCCACCTTCACTGTAACCTTGCCGAGTGTTGTAAATATGAGGGATATTCCAGAGTTCAAATTCTGTGGTATCCTGGAGCTTCGGGGCAGTCTGGACAACTGCATCAGCTCCCACTCTACCCAATTCCCTGGTTACAACCTCCTGATCAATGCAAATAAAGAGCAGGCACTTGTGCCTATTTTAGCAGCAATGTTAATACTATTAGATGGTTACGGAGTTCCATCTGAGCAACTTGACATAGCCTAATTGTAGGCTTTCAAGGATTGTGATGTCAGGACAGGTGCTCATGCAACCAGCAAGAAAGAGTGGATAATGCCTCCATCCTTCTTGTTAGTCATGCAGATCAGTTGATGTGGAACATGGTGCCCAAGTGACCTGGAGCAGGCATCCTCAAACTGCAGCCCAAACAGCTGGAGGGCCACAGTTTGAGGATGCCTATCCTGGAGCTTGGGGCTCCATGGTTTTCTAGGTGTGGTGGCAGCAACACGAAGGTAAAGGTCCAGTTTGGCCAATGTGCTCTCAGCCCAGCAGGATTGTGTAGACCAGGGGTCCTCAGACTTTTTAAACAGAGGGCCAGGTCACAGTCCCTCAAACTGTTGGAGTGCCGGATTATAATTTGAAAAAAGCATGAATGAATTCCTATGTGGTGCAAAAACCACTTATAAACAATACAATAATTAAAATGAAAAACAATTTTAACAAATATAAATTTATTAGTATTTCAATGGGAAGTGTGGGCCTGCTTTTGGCTGGTGAGATAGGATTGTTGTTGTTGTTGTTGTTGTTGTGTGCTTTCAAGTTGTAGTTTGACCCTAAGCGAGCGCCAGGTAAATGACCTTGGAGGGCCGTATTTGGCCCCCGGGCCTTAGTTTGTGGACACCTGGTGCAGACAGTATCATAGCAAGTTTGGCCCTGTGTGATTACCTGCTTCTGGGACCCATCTGAAGCATTTATGTTCTGGTTTGGCCCTTGATTTTGTGACCAGTAAAGAATATCCCCATATCTTCAGATGGATATTCTCTATTTTGGATCTTTGCATGCTCTTGCTGTCTTTATTATCTACCTTCTTGTCATTCTGTCTAGCTCCACTACTATTTGAGACGTGTTTCATTTAACAATACTTCTGGGGAAAAAGTTTCCTTTAATCAAAATGGAGAAATAGAAACTGGTTTTGATATTATCAACTGGGTCATATTCCCAAACCTGTCCATTGTCAAAGTAAAAATTGGAAAGGCTGATCCTCATGTTCCAGTTGAGAAAAGATTAAGCATTCCTGCAAGTGATATTACCTGGCCCAGAATGTTCAACCAGGTAGGTCTTATACATATTTTGAGATGAATGGAGAATATATCTCCTTTTCAAACCATGTCTTACTTCTGCTGCTACAGAAACCCCCCGTGGTGCAATGGGTTAAACCCTTATGCTGGCAGGACTATTGACCGAAAGATTGTTGGTTCGAATCCAGGGAGCAGGGTGAGCTCCTGTCTGTCAGCTCTAGCTCCTCATGTGGGCACATGACAGAAGCCTCCCACTGGATGGTAAACCATCTGAGCATCCCCTGGGCAACGTACTTGCAGACGGCCAATTCTCTCACACCGGAAGTGATTTGCAGTTACTCAAATCGCTCCTGACACACACACACACACACACACACACACACACACACACACACAAACTATTCTGCTCCTGAAATTCTTAATACACAGGCCTGCAATACAAAACAACATTTTTAAAATATTGAAGCTGTCTTTAATGTATTTTGGGTTACTGAAGCTAAAAACACAGTAAACATGTCATACCATGTGCTGTTGTTTCATGATTTTTTAAAAAAATTCAATTTATTTATCGTGTCATCCGCACGATGACATCCGCAACATTGTGTTACATTCAAAATTCAATTGTTACTACATTTTAAGTATGGATGCTAATGTTCCAGTGTGGTTTCTTTTAATGCTTTTGAACACATTTTTGTCTTTCATATCCATGAATTAATGTATTTTGGAGGCCTCTTAGAAGAACTTAACCCCTTCCTTATTATTTATTCTTTGGTCAGCTATTTATTACAAATTGAAATGTCAAATCAAGTTGTGAAAAAGTACATGATTCACCAAATCATTTTTGTAGTACTATTTATTTATTTATTTAAAACATTTAGATTCCGGTCTTCTCACCCCAAAGGGGACTCAGGGAGGAGCACAACATACAAACGGCAAACATTCAATGCCAAGACAAAAATACAGTATAAACATTAAAATAAAAATGTCAAATTCCTTTAAAGGCAGTAGACATTAAATAAAAGAAGTTTGTAAAACCCTCAGTTTTGCAATCCTTTTCAAAACTGTACATGAATAATACTCCAAAACAGCAAAAACTACATTGTGTGTTTCTCTGGTGCTATCTTTCATCTTAATAATAATAATAATAATAATAATAATAATAATAATAAACATTTTAGTCAAAATATTTTCCTTCTTTTTATTCATAGGTACAGCCAATTTCCATGTGTAATGAAAAGTGTGAAGAGGGCTATAGTAAGATTAAGGTGGAAGGGATGCCATTCTGTTGCTATAATTGCCTTCCATGCCCAGAAGGAAAGATTTCAAATCAGCAAGGTGAACTGTGCAATATAAAAACATGTTTAATGTTATCTGTCTTGGCTAGGTTTTCCTCTTGCCAATAATTTTTTTATTTCTTTTCCAGATATGGATGACTGTATCGAATGCCAGGAAGATCAATATTCAAACAATGCCAAAGACCTTTGCATTCAGAAAAACAGAAGCTTCTTGAGTTATGAAGAACCTTTGGGGATTGCTTTGACCACTCTTGCAGTCTCCTCCTCTTTCATTACCATCTTGGTGCTTGCAGTCTTTCTTAAATATTCGGATACCCCCATCGTGAAAGCCAACAATCGCAGTCTCAGCTATTCTCTACTCATTGCCCTCCTCCTCTCCTTCCTTTCCACTTTCCTTTTCATGGGTGAACCTCAGAAGGTGACCTGTCTCCTTCGACAGACTGTTTTTGGGGTCATCTTCTCGGTGGCTGTTTCTTGCATTTTGGCCAAAACCACCATTGTGGTTCTAGCTTTCCTGGCCACTCAACCAGGGTCTAGGATGAGGAAATGGATAGGGAGAAGACTGGCCAGCTCCATTGTCATTTCCTCTTCCTTTATTCAAACCATTCTTTGTACGGTGTGGCTGGCAATCTCTCCCCCATTCCCAGATTTTGACAAACACTCCGTGATTAAAGAAATTGTGCTGGAATGTAATGAAGGTTCAACCGTTCTGTTTTACTGTGTCCTGGGCTTYATGGGGATGCTAGCCCTCATCAGCTTCACCGTGGCCTTCTTTGCCAGGAAGTTACCAGACAGTTTCAAYGAAGCWAAATTTATCACCTTCAGCATGCTGCTCTTCTGTAGTGTTTGGYTATGTTTTGTTCCAGCCTATTTGAGCACCAAGGGAAAATACACAGTGGCTGTGGAGATCTTCTCCATCTTAGCATCYAGTCTTGGTTTACTGGGTTGCATTTTTTCTCCAAAATGTTTCATTATTTTGGTGCACCCTGCATTAAACAAGCAAGGACAGCTGATAGTACAGAAAAGAAAGTGAGGTTCAAGTCATATCATATCCCATTCTAAAGAGTGGGGTTTAGTCAAATTTGTTTGCCTTTAAGTCTTTAGAATTGTGAAATAAGCAGGTATATCCATATAGGCTAAATAAATACCCCAAACACATCAGTTCCTTTCCTGATCTTTGAAGGCTAAATGGAGTCAGTTATGGTTGATGTTTAAAAGGGAGACTCTTCTTGGATCAAATTCCTTCAAGATTTGATTGTATTATGGAGTTTTACTACTGTTGTTTTCAATATTCTTTGCTACTGTTCTAATTAATTTTGCTGCATGTTTTATCATGTTAAAATCTGACATGTTCAACTGTCACTGTTCTGTCACTGCTGGGCTTGAAATGAAGAGCCTTTAACACAGGACGTGCACCTTTTGGCCCAACAGGAAGCCAGGGGGCCCGAAGAGAAATTTTGAAGGATTTTCACCATAAACAGGCTTTAGAAGGCTTGTGAAATAACAAAGTTTTTATTGGTGAACAATCAACAGAAACTCCTTTTGTCTTCAAAGGGTTAAACAAATACTTTTAGGCTTCAAACATCTGGTGGCTTCTAACTGATTCTTTGCTTTACTTTAAAGGAAAACCCCTTTCTAAATTTCTCCCAATTTAAACCTTATTGATGTGGATTCACTACCGGGCTGAACTGCGTCTCAACGCCGAGTGAACCTATCAAAAGGCTTGTAATCACTTAGCTGGAATCCTTGATGTTTAAAGCTGTTATTCCCTCCGGAATTCTTCAGGGCTGTAAAGCTGTTTCCCTGGAACCTTCGAGAATCTTTAGATGATCTTAAGACTGGTTCTCCACCGGGAGGTCTTAAGGGTCGAAGCCTTTTTACAGGAGGAAATCTGTACACATCCTGTACATTGACTTCCCTGTAGAAAACTAACTGAAATGGTTCCTCCCTCTTCCCAAAACCCAGAAAAAGGGGCGGAACCAAAGCTAAATGAAGATGGACAGCGGGCTTGCCCTATGACTGCAAACTATAACAGGAAGCCACCCTGTTGCAAAATCTAAGCCTGAGATTGCAAACAAACTTTTAGTTCCGAGCAAATAAAATTGGAGCTCCTGGAACAGCTGTTCCAGAACAGTCACGTGAATGCTTTATCCTTAAATACATCATAGAAATAACAAAAATGTTTAACGTCAACACTATCTATTTTGTTGGGCAAGTAGGCTTAATAACAAAATACCCTCTGTGATAGCATGGCCAAACTTTTGGAAAAACTATCATGTCTAACTATATTCAGGGGCTATCTGTATACCTTTTGTTAAGATTAAAACCCCTAGCAGACAGAGGCACTTTAGGCAAGGTGAAAAGATAACCAAATGAGTTTACTGCAAACAAGATGAATAAAGGGTTAACTCCACCCAGAACTATCATAAGATAACTTCAACAATACATTACAAAAGGAGATTTTGCTGGTTGTAGTCATCTCTCTGGAAACTTCTTCCTCTGATGCAATGTGATGGATTACAAGTTGTTGCTTATAAACTGTCTTAATCTTCTTTCCTGTGAAGCTTAGGCTGGCCAAAAGCTTCTGTTGCCCTTTGGACTGTTGGTATAATAATACTGCTAAATGCAGCAGGTGCTAAGAATGCCTGTTTTTGGATTGCTTGGGCCTAGGGTTACCAGATAATACCTAAGGCACCATTCTCTGTAACTCTGCTGCAGAAAAAGGACTCAAGCTTTATACAGGTCAATAGAATAGACCAACTAAGATTGGCCTCTGGGGGGATTTTAAGTTCAAACCAAAAAACACAATAAACAGATCCACCTCAGACATCAGAAGATACTCCACCTCAGACATCAGAAGAGCTGCAAGACCAAGAACAAGCCACAAGAGTCAAGACAAAGATCCACCCAGAGGGAAAGTGTTCTTGCCATACATCAAAGGAACCACTGATCACATAGGGAAGCTGATGAGGAAACACAACATACAAACTATCTACAGACCCACCAAGAAAATCCAACAAATGCTACGTTCAGCAAAGGACAAGAGGGATCCTCTCACCTCTGCAGGAGTCTACCATGTACCATGTAGCTGTGGACAAGTCTACATAGGAACCACCAAACACAGCATTGCCCACGGATCAAGGAACATGAAAGGCACTGCAGGGTACTTCAACCAGAGAAGTCAGTCATAGCAGAGCACCTAATGAACCAACATAGACACAGCATATTATTTGAGAACACAGAAATGCTGGACCACTCTAACAACCACCATGTCAGACTACACAGAGAAGCCATTGAAATCCACAAGCATGTGGACAATTTCAACAGAAAGGAGGAAACCATGAAAATGAACAAAATCTAGCTACCAGTATTAAAAAACTCTAAAATTAAAACAGTAAATAAAAAACAAAACTCAAACACTGGGAAACTCCATACAAGAAACAATCAGGGACAGCTAACCACCTCTCAAGGAAGGAATTTCCCAGGCATTAACAAGCCACACCTAAAAACTGCCAGGCCATCAAATGCTAATCAAGGTGGCCAATTGAAATATTCACATGTAACTCCAACAGACAAGAGTTCTTTCTCCCACCCTGGAACTTCCAAAGATATATACACCCAATTTTCCTAGTTTCCACAAACTTCACAAACTCTGAGGATGCTTGCCACAGATGCAGGTGAAACGTCAGGAGGGAATGCTTCTAGATCATGGCCATACAGCCCAAAAAACCTATAACAACCGAAGCCCTAAATGGTTCTAGCCCAGCTTACCTGTCCAAATGTATCTCCCTCTATGATCCACCTCAGAGGTTAGGATCTTCTAGGGAAGCCCTGCTCTCTGTCCGCCTCCTTCACAGGTATGCTTGGTGAGGATGAGAGACAGGGCCGTCTCAGTGGTGACTCCTCATGTATGGAACTTCCACTTCAGTGAAACTAGAGCAGCTCCCTCCCTCCTGATCTTCGGGAAAAAAATAAAAATGTGGTTATGAGACCAAGCTTTTGGATAGCAAGTTTTAGTGCAATAAGAGAATAAGGAGTAGTGAAATGACGTGGAGTGGTCTTGGATCGTGATTTTGGATGGCTTGATTTTAATAATTAAAATAATAGATTTTAATAATAAGCCCGTGGTGCAGTGGGTTAAATTGCTGAGATGCTGAGCTTGATGATCAAAAGGTCACAGGTTCAAATGTGGCGGGCGGCGTGAGCTTCCTCTGTTAGGCCCAGCTTCTGCCAACCTAGCAGTTTGAAAACATGCAAATGTGAGTAGATCAGTAGGTACCTCTCCAGAGGGAAGGTAACGGCGCTCCATGCAGTCATGCTGGCCACATGACCTTGGAGGTGTCTGCGGACAACGCCGGCTCTTTGGCTTAGAAATGGAGATGAGCACCACCCTCCAGAGTCAGACACGACTGGACTTAATGTCAGGGGAAAATCTTTACCTTTACCTTTAATATTGATTTGTTTTCATTATTTTTGTTTTAATGTAATTATTTATTTTATTGCCTGTGTGTTTATGGCATCAAATTGCTGCCTATCTGTAAGGCCACTCTGAATCATACTTTTGAATTTGCAACCACAGTTCTATCATCCCACCAAACAACAAACCTCAATATTACATAGGATGTAATTGCTGTTACGGTTATTATGACGAGGGATGGATGGAATTTTCCATTAATTCTTGAAAGGCTTTCTATTGTTGAAGGCTTTCATGGCCAGAATCACTGGGTTGTTGTAGGCCATATTCTAGAAGTATTCTCTCCTGATGTTTCACCTGCATCTATGGCAGGCATCCTCAGAACTTTTCCCACTTTTTCTGGATTAGTCATTTCTATGCTTGACCTTGTCTCACTTTTCATTCAAAATCCTTGTTTTTCTTTGGTAACCCCTGATGACTTCTTCTGAGGTGGGAATCAACATGATTTCTCCTTCACTGTTGCACACAAAGGAAAAAAGAATGTATGGTTACTACCCTATAATTACGAAAATAACTACCTCTCGGGGCTCTAGAAAGAGCAGAGAACAATGGAAAACATTGTGCTCAGGCTGAAAGTTTGTATTAATACTCCTAGTATTAATATTCAGAGTGGAGACAGACACAGTTCCATTTGCCCAATTCCTTGCAGTACTTGAGATCAGTAATCCCATGGCTGATTTATTCAGCCAAATAGAACACATTGACAATGTCGGAGGAATGAACCCACGGCTGGCAGGTGGATTTGCATAAAGGATGTTCCTGTTGACAGCATCTGTATTCATAGTCCTGCCACATGTCTTGTGCAATAAGCCTGTGGCTAACTGTGCTACCGGTAATCCTCTCTCTATCAAGCACAGGCAATATTATTCAGGAGATCTGCTCATTGCTAGCATTATTTCTCAGATCTACAGATTCTCTGAACTGGTGACATTTAGAAGACATCCTGCCGCAGAGCAACTTGATGAGCTCATGTATGGGGTAGTTATTATTATTATTATTATTATTATTATTATTATTATTATTATTTGAAACACAACAAGATTAGTACACAGCAAACAAGATCACTATGCTGGATGGTGTATTGGATCACACGTCGGACACTTCCCAAATGTCTAGGACTGTGTGATGTATCAGCGAATAATGCGTGCAGATCCCAGTAAGGTGGCTTTTTGAAGCTGGCAGATGGTAATCTTGTTAGCGCCGATTGTGTTTAAGTGCAGGCCAAGGTCTTTAGGCACTGCACCCAGTATGCCGATCACCACTGGGACCACCTTGACTGGCTTGTGCGAGAGGTTTTGTAGTTCTGTCTTTAAATCCTCATGTCAGCTTTTCCAGTTGTTTCTCTTCAATCCTGCTGTCACCTGGGATTGCAACGATTCATACTTGGGTTTTTAACACTATCATGAGGTCAGGAGTATTGTGCTCCAAAACTCTGTCAGTCTGAATTCGGAAGTCCCAGAGTACTTTGATGTGTTCATTTTATGTAACTTTTTCAGGCTTGTGATCCCACCAGTTTATTATTATTATTTGATGCACAACAAGATTAGTACACAGCAAACAAGATCACTCTGTTGGCTTTTGTATTTGATCATGTGTCGGACACTTCCCAAGTGTCTAGGACTGTGTGATGTATCAGTAAAAAATGAATGCAGATCTGAGTAGAGTGGCCTTTTGCAGCTGACAGATGGTAACATTGTCAGCGTCGATCATTTTTAAGTGCAGGCCAAGGTCTTTAGGCACTGCACCCAGTGTGCCAATCACCACTGGGACCACCTTTACGGGCTTGTGCCAGAGTCTTTGCAGTTCGATCTTTAAATCATCATATCGTGTCAGCTGTTGTTGTTATTGCTATTATTATTATTATTATTATTATTATTATTATTATTATTATTATTAACATTTATATTCCGCCCTTCTCTCTCCAAAGGGGACTCAGGGCCGAGCATATTAAATAGATGGCAAGTATTCCATGCCAGAACATAAACTAACTATAAATATACACAAACACTAAAAACAGTTACATCTTTTGATTACTTTAAATCAGTTGTTTTAAACCACCTCAAAACACCATGCTGGCTCTGATCAGCAGTGTGGATTTACTATTATTGCCTCATTGCACTGCCCCAAAGGCTTGGTCCCACAGCCAAGTTTCTACCATCTTTCTGAAGGACAGGAGGGAAGGGGCGGATCTAATCTCACCAGGAAGGGAGTTCAATAGCTGGGGGGCAATCACTGAGAAGTCCCTCTCTCTTGTCCCCGTCAAACTCGCCTGTGGTGGGGATGGGACCGAGAACAAGGCCTCCCCAGAAGATCTTAGTCTTCGCTGTGGTTCGTAAAGGTATTTGTAACCATCCCTTAAGATCATGGACTGGTTTCAAGCAGACTAGTTTGATATACATACTTTTTATCTTAGTTTGTCCTTGGTCATATGGTTGCTTTTTCCATTGTTGCTTATGCTGCTCTCACTATTGTTACTGTATAATTTTATAGAAAAGACACTGCGTCCCTCCCGACTCCCAATTATCTCCTCTTTTTTCCTGCTACCATTGGGTTAAACCGCTGAGCTACTGAACTTTCTCATCGAAAGTTTGCAGGTTCGAATCCAGGGAGCGGCGTGAGCTCCCGCTGTTAGCCCCAGCTCGTGCCAACCTAGCAGTTCGAAAACATGTAACTGTGAGTAGATCAATAGGTACTGCTCTGGCGGGAAGGTAACAGAACTCCATGCAGTCATGCTGGCCACATGACCTTGGAGGTGTCTATGGACAATGCCAGCTCTTCGACTTAGAAATGGAGATGAGCAGTGAGCCCCAACTCCTGGAGTCGGACACGACTGGATTTAATATAAGAGGAAAACCTTTACCTTTTCCTATCATTCATTGATGTTACATTTCCATTTCTCACTCTAAATCATGCCATCTTTGGCTTTACCCTTGTACATTTTAACTATCCAGTTAGCTATTCATGTCAAAAAATGTAATGATTAATTACTCATTTGTCTAATACCTAAATGCAAAAAAGAGAAAGATTACATAGTCATTTAAATTTCAATACAAATAAAGCAATATGTGTTTGAAACTGTATTTGAATAAGGTTCCGTTTCTGTGTTTTGTGACTCTCAAATCCATATTGCCAATCAGCTGCTATTCACAGAAGTCTTGGTCCCAGCATATATTTCTTGATTGCCATTACAATTTTCAGTTTTTTCTCCACAATATCAATCACCGGCCATATTAAATCGGTTGCAGATCTCATATTCTGAAAGAGATGCTTTCTGAGAAAGGGTTTAACTCTCTCTGTAGGTTCTTTAGTCAAAATTACCAGCACATCCTGGCTTTGACATTTGCTGTACAGGAGATCAATGAAAATCCCCTTATCTTACCCAATATCACCCTGGGCATCCATGTCTTCAACAATTATTTCATGGCAAAGTGGACTTATCTTGCTTCGATGGAGCTTTTTTCCACCCATGACAGATTCATCCCTAATTACAAGTGTGATGACCTGGACAACACAGTTTCTGTTATCGTGGGTCCCAACCCCCAGTTCTGTCAGTACGTGGACAACATTTTGAACCTTTACAAAGTCCCACAGGTAAGACATACTCATGAAACTTTGGATGCCAACAAGTCATTCACTCTATATGGTTTAGGTCACTTTTGTGTGGTTTCAAGATAGAAACCAGTTGGCAAAGAAGAAATCATTCAGCAATCTGTTATTCTGCTTATGAGTAAAGCTTTGTTTGGGGTTTTCAATCATCTATGCAGCAGAGGCTCCTCTATTCATTCCTGCTGGGCATTTAAAATGAAAAATTATGTCTCCTTGTTCAATTTTTCAAGATAAAGTTCAGACCCAAATGGAAGTCTGATTGAATCTCTCAGAATCTTTCCTATCATTAAACATAATGCTGAGTTGCCTCCAGTAGTGTATGGTGAAAGGTGAAAAAACAGAAAAATAATATATCCGACTCAGAAAACCAATAACGCCCTACCCAATTAAACTACATGGATGAGCCCAGAGACTGATCATTATCGCAGAGCTCACTGGTTATTGTCTGATGTTTGCTTTTATATTTTGTTATAATGTTGTCATTTTATTTTGTTTTATGCAGTTGTTTATATATTTTAATGTGCTTTATTTTAACCATGTTGATCGAGCTCGTCCCCATGTAAGCCGCCCCAAGTCCCTGCGGGGAGATGGAGGCGGGGTACAAAAACAAAGATGATGATGATGATGATGATGATGATTATTATTATTATATAAAGATGATAGCGATATTTAAGCATAAATCAATATAAATATGAAGCTAAAAGTGAAACAATTCTGGATTGAATGGGTTGGCAGAATTCATGCAGAATTGTTATGTTTATGTTTGAATATGTTGTGAGGCAGCAATATGTTTCTTGTGAAGGAAATTATGTGTTCTTCAGTTTCAAGCAACTATGGATTGTGTATTGCTTATTTGCAATGTTTGAGATCAGAAGAGTTTTGAATTTTGGATTTTGAATATGTATATTTTCATATACATGTTAACAAGATATCTTGTAGATAGGATACAACAAGTCTAAACATGAAATTTATTTATGTTTCATATACACCTTATGTTATCTTAAGGTAATGGCAAGAAATACTTTAAATACTTTTGTGCATGAAAGAAAGCTTGTGTACTCTGAACCACCAGGAAGCAAAGATGGCACTATCTCAGCCACCCATGGGGACAATTTTAGATTTTGTAGTATATCAGATTTCAGAATTTTAAACAAGGAATGTTTAGCCTGTATTTGGTTTGTAATGCTTTTGGAAAAGGTTCTTGAAGGATTTGGAAAAGGTTCTTGAAGCCAGTACTAGAAAATAAAATATTTGATTGAGAGTTATATTGTAATATAATGGGGGAAAGTGCAATTTCCTTCAACAATTTGGTCAAGGACATCTCTTTTGTTGACCATGGAACATTTATTGATGACTGGGTGGAAATTAAGGTTGTGTAATCGCGGTAAACCTTGACCCGTTTTGTGTCCCAACTTTTGGTGGGGGCCCTGATCCATTTTTGGGAGCCTTCCCAAAATCAGGAGGGCAGATTTCTGTTTTCGGTTTGGGTCTCCCAAAGATCTGTTTTCTACTGGACCATTGTAGGGTGGTGGCCTCCCACCCAGGCTCCCCTTCCTGGCATGTGCTTTAAGAAGGCTTCTTACCAGCTGTTTCTTTCTATTCTAGAGGAGGCTCTCGGCTGCAGGCACTGGCAAGTGCACACGTTTTCTGGGCGTGCGCACCACTCTCTCAGAAAGAGAGTGCATGTATGGCATGGCATACAGGCCCAGAAAGCATGCGCACCTGCCAGTGCTGCAGCCGAGCGCCTCTTACCCTAGAGTAAGATGTGCTTGGCTGGAGGTACTGGCAAATGCATGTGCTTTCTGGGCCTGCACTCCACATGTGCACTCTTTTTCCAAGGAGAGTGCATGTGTGGTGTGGTATGCAGGCTCGGAAAGCTTACTCTAGAGTAAGAGGCACTCAGCTGCAGGTTCTGGCAGGTGCACATGCTTTCTGGGCCTGAACAACCACACAAAGAGGCAAGTTCTTCTGGAAGGCACTTGGCTGCAGAAGAAAGCAGGCTTGAAGCCAGGATCGGCTCCAGCTTGCTTTTGTGTCAAGCTGATTTTTGTGCGAGGAGGGGGGGGGGGGTTCCCGTTTCATGCTCCTGAAGAAAGAAATGAAACAAAAGAAACGGGAGAAATGGGAGAAACTAATTCCATGCACAACTCTAGTGGAAATGTTGCTCTTTATATATGGTAATAATAATGCACGTACGATGTGAAATAAAGATATGAGCATTTTATATTGGAAATCCATTCTTCTATTTCTATGTTTGCTTTTCTTTCCTAAGCTCATATATGGATCTGCCCCTGTGATGACTAACAATGCCCAAGCTGCTTCACTCCACCGGATGTTCCCAAATGAGTACCATCAGAATGAGGGCATTCTGCATTTGCTCTTGAATTTCAAGTGGACTTGGGTTGGAGTGCTTTATATAGGCAATGACAGTGGTGAAAAATTTGTACATGACATACTTCCCATGTTCCATCAGAACGGTATCTGCTTTGATTTTATAAAAGAATTACCCCGAGAGTCTTTTTCCACTAATATTGATAATTTAGTGTTCAAGTATTATGAAATGCATGGGATTATTGCAAGAAGTACCGCCAAGGTTGTCATCTTATATGGTGAGAATCAATGCATAGTGGCTTTGAGAATGGTCTACCATGGTGCAGAATTTGAGGAGATGCCATCCAAGAGCCATGTCTGGATCATGACAGCCCAGATGGAATTTACATCGATTCCTTTTCAAAGGAATTGTATCATGCACTTCCTCCATGGTACAATGTCTTTTGCAGTTTCTTCAGAGAAGGTCCCAGGATTCCAGCAATTCCTTCAGACCATGAACCCTGCTTCAGAAAATCAGGAGAGCTTGATGAGGATCTTTTGGGAACTGGTGTTTCAATGCTCTTTCCCAAGCACTGACTCAAATGAGGACACTGGAAACATCTGTAGTGGAGGGGAGAAATTAGAAACTCTTCCTGGGTCTTTGTTCGAAATGACCATGACTGCTCAGAGCTACAGTGTCTACAATGCTGTCTATGCTGTGGCCCATGCTTTGCAAGCTATGCACTCATACAAAGTTAAACACAGTGGAATGCAAGATGGGAGGGGACAGATGCAGCAGCAGCTGTGGCAGGTAGAGTCCTGTGCAATTGGGTGTGGTATTTAGGATTCCCCGATCTCGTACTTTGTCCGCATCATAATCAAAGGGTCTGATGAGTTATCTAGATGTTCAGCTAGCGACTCATATGCGCCAGGAGGTTTACATGACAGATCCAGGGCTATTGTCCAGAATGCCCAGGACCACAACCATTCTGTTGAGCTGTCACCTTCACTGTATCATTGCTGAATGTTGCAAAGATGGGGTATATTCCAGAGTTCAAATTCTGGGGTATCCTGGATCTTAGGATACCCCTGGACAATTGGATCAACTCCCATTCAACCAAATTCCCTTGTTGCCACCCCCTGATCAGTGTAGGGAAATGGACAAGAACTTGTGCCTATATTGGCGATATTGCTGTTAGATGGTCTCAGAGCTCCATCTGAGCGCGTTGCCAAAGCCTAACCATACCTTTCAAGGTTTATGATGTCAGGATAGGGTGGCCAAACCACCAGCAAGAAAGAGTGGACATTGCCACCACCCTTCTTGCTAGTCATGCAGATCTGTTTATGTGGAACAGGATGTCTACAATGACCTGGAGCTTGGAACTCAGTAGTTTTCTGGGAATTGTGGCATCAACATGAAGGGTGAAGTAAAGGTCCAATGTGGTCAATGTGGTCTTAAGCCAGCAGGACTGTGTAGACAGTAGCACAGCAGGCTTTACCAGGTGTGACTAGCTGCTTCTGGGACTCATGTCCCAGAAGTATTTATGCTCTGGACTGGATCTAGGTCGTGTGGCAAGTGAAAAATCTCCCTAGCTCTTCCAATAGATCTTCTCAATTTTGGATCTTCACATGCTTTTGTTGCCTTTATCATCTACCTTCTTGTCATTCTACATAGCTCCACCACTATTTGAGAAGTGTTTCATTTAACAATAGTGCTGGGAGAAAAGTTTCCTTTAATCAAAATGGAGAAATAGAAGCTGGTTTTGACATTATCAACTGGGTCATATTCCCAAACCTTTCCATTCTCAAAGTAAAAATTGGAACAATTGATCCTCATGTTCCAGTCGAGAAGAGGTTAATCATTTCTGCAAGTGATATCACCTGGCCTAACATGGTAGGTCTTTTCAAACCATATCTTACTTCTTATGCTCCTGAAATCCTTAATACTCAGGCCACCAATGATGTTTTTTTTAAATTTTCAAAATGTTAGCTGTCTTTGGTGTATTTTGGGGTGCTCGATGAAAAAAAAACACAATAAGAATGTCATACAGTTCTTTCACAAATTCAATATTTTGTCAATTCAATTGGTACTCCATTTTGATGCAATATGGATGTTGATGTTCCAGTGCTTTTGAACAGATTTTTGTGTTTTATAACTGCAAATTAATGTGTTTTGAACATCTATTGGAAGACTTTAGAGCAGGGGTCCTCAAACATTTTAAACAGAGGGCCAGGTCACAGTCCCTCAAACTGTTGGAGGGACGGATTATAATTTGAAAAAAAATATTGATGAATTCCTATGCACACTGCACATATCTTATTTGTAATGCAAAAACACACACATTAAAACAATAGAATAATTAAAATGAAGAACAATTTCAACAAATATAAACTTATTAATATTTCAATGGGAAGTGTGGGCCTGCTTTTGGCTGATGAGATAAGATTGTTGTTGTTGTTGTTGTTGTTGTTATGTGCTTTCAAGTAATTTCAGATGTAGGTTGACCCTCAGCGAGGACCAGGTAAATGACCTTGGAGGGCTGTATCTGGCCCCCGGGCCTTAGTTTGAGGACCCCTGCTTTAGAGTAACTATTAGAGTAGTATTTACTCTTTGGGCAGTCACTTATTACAGAAACAAAATGTCGAATCAAGTTGTGAAAAAATGTCCATGATGCACCAAATCTGAGGTCATTTTTGGAGCATGAATGCCAAATTCCTATAAAAAATATACATTAAAATGTTTTTATGACCCTAAGTTCTGTAGCTCTCTTGGAAAAGTTCTATACATGAAGAGCACTCCACACAGTCAAGGGAATTTAAAGCAATGTTACACATTTTACTGGCCCTATCTTTCACATTAAGTTGTTGACCATATAGATGAGTGAATGAGAGAAGCTTGTGTGTTTAAGATTCTACATGATTTGAGCTCCCCCACCCCACTTTACAAAAAATCCTAATATTTATAATATGCATAGGCCAAAGGTTCTAGTAATACGTCCAGGCAGCACATTGTATTCCAAATAATCTCCATGCAATACCAGAATATAACCATTGTGTAACTCTAGACTAGTGCAACAAAAGGGAGATACTTAAATAATTTAAAAAATAAAAATAAAAATATTTTACTTCCCATTTATTCATAGGTGCAGCCTATTTCCATGTGTAATGAAAAGTGTCAAGAAGGATATAGTAAGATTAAGGTGGAAGGGATGCCATTCTGTTGCTATAATTGCCTTCCATGCCCAGAAGGAAAGATTTCAAATCAGCAAGGTGAGCTGTGCAATATAAAAACATGTTTAATGTTATCTGTCTTGGCTAGGTTTTCCTCTTGCCAATAATTTTTTTATTTCTTTTCCAGATATGGATGACTGTATTGAATGCCAGGAAGATCAATATTCAAACAATGCCAAGGATTTCTGCATTCAGAAAAACAGAAGCTTCTTGAGTTATGAAGAACCTCTGGGGATTGCTTTGACCACTCTTGCAGTCTCCTTCTCTTTCATGACCATCTTGGTGCTTGCAGTCTTTCTTAAATATTCAGATACTCCCATCGTGAAAGCCAACAATCGCAGACTCAGCTATACTCTACTCATTGCCCTCCTCCTCTCCTTCCTTTCCACTTTCCTTTTCATGGGTGAACCTCAGAAGGTGACCTGTCTGCTCCGACAGACTGTTTTTGGGGTCATCTTCTCGGTGGCTGTTTCTTGCATTTTGGCCAAAACCACCATTGTGGTTCTAGCTTTCCTGGCCACCCAACCAGGGTCTAGGATGAGGAAATGGATAGGGAGAAGACTGGCCAGCTCCATTGTCATTTCCTCTTCCTTTATTCAAACCATTCTTTGTACGGTGTGGCTGGCAATCTCTCCCCCATTCCCAGATTTTGACAAACACTCCGTGATTAAAGAAATTGTGCTGGAATGTAATGAAGGTTCAACCGTTCTGTTTTACTGTGTCCTGGGCTTTATGGGGATGCTAGCCCTCATCAGCTTCACCGTGGCCTTCTTTGCCAGGAAGTTACCAGACAGTTTCAACGAAGCAAAATTTATCACCTTCAGCATGCTGCTCTTCTGTAGTGTTTGGCTATGTTTTGTTCCAGCCTATTTGAGCACCAAGGGAAAATACACAGTGGCTGTGGAGATCTTCTCCATCTTAGCATCTAGTCTTGGTTTACTGGGTTGCATTTTTTCTCCAAAATGTTTCATTATTTTGGTGCACCCTGCATTAAACAAGCAAGGACAGCTGATAGTACAGAAAAGAAAGTGAGACATGTCACGTCCCATTCTAAAGAGTGGGGTTTAGTCAATTGTGAGTGACTGCTTGCTTGGGTCAATGGACAATAAAGAATTGTTTTAATTTTAAAGTGAACACAAGACAACATATTTATATTATTTATTTATTTATTTAAAACATTGATATCCCATCCTTCTCAACCCCCAGAGGGCGAGTCAAAGTTGCTTACAATTGGCAGTCATTCGATGCCAACACAGAACAATTACAGCACAGCAATTAACATAAACAGGCCAACAACACTAAAAATACATTATATCATATTCACATAAGAATTGGCCTTGCTACTGTTTTGATATACCTACATGTATTGAAGTCATCAGAAATGTCAGATATACAGATATGTTTGTGTAGCTTAAATATCCCAAAGCGGTGTTTCCCAATATTCCTAATGCCACAACTCCTTAATACAGTTCTTCATTTTGTGGTGACTCCCAATCATAAAATTATTTTCATTGCTACTTCATGACTGCAATTTTGCTACTGTTATGAATTGTAATGTAAATATCTGATATGCCGGATGTATTTTCATTCACTGGACCAAATTTAGCACAAATACCCGATATGTCCAAATTTGAATCCTGGTGGGGTTGAGGGAGCTGTCATTTGGGAGTTGTAGTTGCTGAGATTCATAATTCACCTACACTCAAAGAGGATTCTGAATGCCACCAATGATGGAATTGAACCAAACTTGGCACACAGTACTCCCATGACCAACAGAAAATACTGGAAGGGTTTGGTGAGCACTGAGCTTGAGTTTTGGAGTTGTGGTTCGCCTACATGAAGAGAGCACTGTGGACTCAAACAATGATAGAAATGGACAAAACTTGGCACGAATACTCAATATGGCCAAATGTGAGCACTGGTGGTGTTTGGGGAAAATAGAAGTTGACATTTGGAAAATTTTTATTGAGTTATTTGACTAATATACTACAAAGGAAACCAGAAACAATGAAAGAGTGGGAACAATACGATAATAGGAAAGTTAGGAAGAAAGAAAGAAGAAAAATAAGAAAAGAAAAAGAATTGGATAAAAGAATAAAATTAAAATAAAAAGTTGACATTTGGGAATTGTAGTTGCTGGATATATAGTTCACCTACAATCAAATAACATTCTGAACCCCACCAATGATAGAATTGGGCCAAACTTCTCACATAGCAGCCCCATGCTTTTAAGGGACTTTCTGGCATGAGCCTCCCTCCAGTCTCACACACTCTCCCTCACCTGCACATGTGCACATGTGCACATTGCTGCCATGGGTCAAGCACACCTGCTCTCCCCTCCCCACCTGGAGTCTCAGAAACAGCCCTCCCCTTGGCCGAGAGGCCAGCTGAGAGGCCAGCCAATCACAGCAGGAGGAGGGATTTTGGTGGGAGGATTTGCCATCTGTTTCCAAAAAGGAAGAGAAGGACAGGAGGAGAGAACTTCAGCCTTCTCTGCCAAAGGAGTTCCTAAGATGGCTCTGTAACACCCCCCCCCCCGCGTGACATCCCCTAGGGGGCCCGACCCCCCAGGTTGAGAAACGCTGCCCTAAAGGTTCCATCTGTTCCTGATCTCAGTCTAAATAGACTCAGCTCTTGTTGATATTTAAATGGGAGATTCTTCTTGGATCAAGATTTGATTGTACTGTGGCGTTTTACTGCTGTGGCTTTCAATGTTACATGCTGTTGTAATTAATTTTACTATATGTTTTATCATTTTAAAATTTGACATATTCAACTGTCATGTGAATGCTTTATCTCTAACTACAGTCAAGAAATAGCATAAATAGATAACATCAAAATATTTGTACATCTAGATCAGTGGTTCTCAATCTCGGCTCCTCCAGATGTTTTGGACTTCAGCTCCCACTCCTAACAGCTGGTAAACTGTCTGGGATTTCTGGGAGCTGAAATCCAAAACATCGTGAGGAGCAGAGTTTGAGAAACACTGATCTAGAGCAACCATGTCTACAACGAATGACTATCCAGGGTTGAAGAGATAGCGGATTCTTTTACGTTACCCAAATATAGCTATATGATTCCATTTTAACTGTTGTACTTCCGTCTCTTGGAAACCTTGGTTTTGCAGTTTTGATCATTCAAAAGGGATACATTTGAATTCTCAACCAGACAGTTCTATTATCTCTCTCTCTCTCTCTAAGTTCTATTATCTCTCTCCATAGGATGCAATTATGGAAATTAAACATGGAATCTCTCTCTCACGAAGCCTTTATTGGCATATAACAACAAAATCACCATAAGGGTATATACAAAAAGAGATAAAAAGAAAACATACTTAAAAATTTCTCATCTCAAGGATACCCCACCTTTGGGCTGATATGGGCAGGATAAAAGTGACATAAATAAATAACATTGATTTACTCTATTTGTATGATTTTTTTCCTCCCTGAGTGGCATCCAAAGTGTCTCTTAGAAACAATCAATTAAAACTTAATCACAATAAAACAATTTAGACCACATAAAACAGTATAGAAACTATTTAAAATACCAAGCACAAGTTTAGAAAGATGACTGAGATACCCCAATGAAAAGTGTCCCTGAAATTTTAAAACTGGAATAAAATAAATGAAGAAACTTCTGGCTATATTGTTTGAATCCTCACTTATCCATAGATTGCCATGGATTGGAAATGACTTGAAGGCAAAAAACAACAACATCCTTCAATTGCTGAGCACATTGTTAGGGATGGCATTGCCTATTTTATACCATGGTTCTTTCTGGTCTTACTATAGCAGACAAAGACATATCCCATCATAGAAGATGGGATATGTCTATGATATCACCTTTGAAAAACAAATATTATAATTGTATACACAAAGTAGCTGCACACAATAAAATCCTGCGGAAACTTTCTACTAGCGAATGGGTTCCAGACCAAAAATTAATAAGAACATCAGCCCTGGCCTTGCCTTACTCAACTGCTGAGTATGCCTGCTCTCTCTGGCATAAATCTGCCCATGCAAAGCAGGTGAATATAGCACAGAATGAGACATGTAGAATAACCACAGGATGTCTTAAACTTACACCTATTGATAGAATTTACAAGCTAGCTAGCATTGCCCCCACCCTTCGGATGTGTGATGGGAAGTTGCTGCCAATTTTGAGAGAAATAAGGTTGAACACCATGAAAGCCACTCATTATATGGATATCAGCCTCCTCCCAGTAGACTTAAATCAAGGAAACGTTTCATGAGAAGCACCTCTCTTCTAAATGTTCCTCCAGCAATAGCAAGAATATCCCTCTGGGCAGCAAAATCAGGCAATTCCAACTGGATGCCCCCCAATGAGGATCTTCCTCCAAGGGCAAACCAAGAATGGGCATCTTGGAAGTCCCTGAACAGACTTAGAAGTGGAGCTGGCAGATCAAAAGACAACCTGACAAAATGGCACTACCTAGAAGAATCCTTCATCATGTGAGACTGTGGAGAAGAACAAACAACTCAGCATCTGTATGCTTGCCCACAATGCCCTGCCTCATGCACAGAGGAAAAACTGTTTAAAGTTGCAGACAATGCGGTCGCTGTTGCCCATTTTTGGTCTAAAACTATTTAGCTGCTTGTGCTCCCTTTATTTTATCAGTTTTAAACTTAATTATTTATGCATTCCTTTTGACACAAAATAAAAAATTATGACCTCTTCAACACAGCCCCAACAACAACAAAAAACTTGGAGACTTCTGAAAAAACTCAAATTGCTCCATTATCGCCATCACTGTATTTTTTTAGTATTCCCATTTTGGTAAATCTTATTTAGAAGTGCCATTTCTGCCAATACAGATTATCACCCCAAACTTTTTGAATATGTCATAAACATGTTTTTTTCTGCACAGTCAACCTTTTAAATTCTCTTCTCTGTAATTATCAAATCAACCATGATTATATCTTCTCCTTCAAGCTCCCAAGGAACTCCAGCGAATACTAACAAAGTTATGCACCTAGACTGGAAAATACTATTAATATGCTTCATGCCATTTGAAAGAGGAACTAGAGACAGAAAGGGCATATCAGTGGAATGAGTTTGAAGTGTAGTAGACATTCAAGTTTGAGTGTGGTAGACCTTATTCCTTTGAATTATAATGTGGGATGGATGGTTGGCCTAAAAGTGAAGATTGTCTTTCAAGATGGAATTATTTGTGGCGTTTGTATTAGTGTTGTTGCCTGAGATTGCATGTAAGGCACCCACTAGAAAATGTCCCATCATGGAGCCTCTTCCTATTCTTCACACATATTATCAGGCAGGGGACCTGGTTGTTGCAGGCATTATTTCTCAGATTTATATATTTTCCAGAAAAATGAACTTCGAAAAGTGTCCGTCCCAGGAGCTGTTTGACGATTATATGTAAGGTTGTTTTTGTTAGTATGTTATATGTCAGGTTGTTTTTGTTGATGCTGTTACTATGATTACCATACCATGCATGGACCTCGTGGAGCTCTTTCTTTCCATCAGTTTTAATCATTTGGATAATGGTTTTAATCATTTGGTTTTAATCATTTGGGTAACATTGGGAATGTCATCTGTTTCTTTTTCTTAATTTCCCTTTGGTAAATTAATATAGAATAATTAACATTACAGTTTCCCTCAGAATGTGTCATTGCTGTCTGTCTGTCTCCTACCCTATCAATTATCTATCTGTCTGTCTGTCTGTCTATCTATCTATCTATCTATCATCTATCTATCTATCTATCTATCTATCTATCTATCTATCTATCTATCTATCTATCTATCTATCATCTCTATCATCTGGCCATCTATCCAACCATCTATCCTGTCTTTTCCCCCAGTACTGGTGTTATTGTTGACAATTCAAACAGTCATGCTATTGATAGAAGTTCCATTTATTAGAACTTGCTTCTCAATATCCAGGATCTGAGAGTCAAACAGGCTCTTTTGCTAGTCCCAACTACAGTATATCAACTGATTAAATAGGATGTATATAATTGACTTAGATTTGAGTCATAATTTATTACCATAGGCTCCTAGAATCAGAGGTGACTTTAGAGATAATTGAACTGAGCCATTTGTTTAATGCATACATAATGAATACCATGATTATAATGTGTATTTTGTCATTTGGGTGGTCGGGGATTTTGTTTAGTAATTTAGTCTGCACTTCTATTTGCAGATCACTCACACAGAACTATCAACACATTCTGGCCTTAGTATTCGCTATCAATGAAATCAACAAACATTCCCAGATCTTACCTAACATCACCATGGGATTCAACATTTATAATAGTTATTTCTGTGCAAGCTGGACCTACCTTGCTTCAATGGAACTTCTATCTCCAGGAAACAAGTTCACCCCCAACTACAAGTGTGGATTCCAGTACAATCCAGCAGCAGTCATTGGGGGACCAAATTCTAACATCTGCCACTTTATGACAACCATCCTGTACAACTACAAAATTCCACAGGTAAGATTGGTACATAAAGCATTTGAGTTGAAAAAAAATACATTTATGGGAATGTGCCATTGCATTTGGATTTACAGATGAATGAAATGAAGAAAGGTGTTCATACATATCATACTTAATGCTCAAATTCTGAATAAGGATCTTGAATGGAAACTATTATTTATTATTGTTCATTTGGATTCAAGAGTCTTTAAAAAATTCAGACCTCTATATTTGTGGGTTTAACTTTCATGGATTTGATTTGCCGACTTTTAAACAGAAGCTGGATGGCCATCTGTATATATGTTGGCATTTAATCTTGCCATTACTTGATGTACACTGCTTTGAGTCTTATCTATCCGAACGTATCTCAGCCTATCAGCCCACCAGGACCCTAAGATCTTCTGGAGAGTCCCTTCTCTCTATCCCTCCTGCTTCAGAAGTGCGGCTGGCGGGAACGAGAGACAGGGCCTTCTCTGTGGTGGCCCCCCGGCTTTGGAACACCCTCCCTATAGAGGTACGATCAGCCTCTTCACTGATGGTGTTTAGGAAGAGACTAAAAACATGGCTGTTCAAACTAGCATTCGACTAATCTGTGGCAATCGATTCTTGGTGACTATGGACAGAAAATATGGACAACGATTTCTGGACTGTGATTTCAACTCGAGATATATGGGATTATTATTGGTGGCCCAATAATTTGTTATTGTATGTGTATATGTTTTTAAATTGGAGATTGTTTTTAACTTGCTGTAAACCGCAATTGAGTCGCCGATCCAGGCTGAGAAATTAGCGGTATACAAGTGTACCAAAATAAATAAATAAATAAATTGAGTCCTCCCCAGAGGTGAGAAAAGTGTTATATAAATGCAGTAAATAAATAAATACAATAAATAAATCTGTTGGGGCTGCTTTGATTGTGCTTTTCCTGGATGGCAGAAGGTTGGACTAGATGGCCCATGCAGTCTCTTCCTACTCTATGCTTCTATGATTCTATGACTAATATAGTCCCTCTATGGAATCTCAAGATTCTCCAGTATGACCCTATATGGCCAACTTCTGTCAGCAGTGGATGTAGAGTTGTGCTGGAGGACCTAAAGATTCTCAGAAAGTTTTCTCAGTTTTTTAAAATCATGTTTTCTCCCCATTGTGGTGAGGGTTCTGTGCTCTTAACTCCTGCAAAAGTGGAAGGCCTCCTGGGAGGATGTGAACACAATGATGGACAGGGTATAGGGATTTTATCCTTGAAGATCCCCACCGCTATCACCAATTGGGAGGAGGTGCTTGTGTGTTGCTGAGGTTGGCAACGGCAGGCCCTAATAATGGAGCTATTTTACCTCAGGCACTTTTTAATCTCACCGTTGCCACCAATTGTACAGATTTGGATGTTATGGAGGGAATTTACCTCAGGCCTCAATTGTGTAGAAGAGTATATTATGGAGGAGGCCAATTATTATTTGTAAATTAAGGTAACTGCCACCAACGTGAGGTATTTGAGGTACCACCGATGAGATCTGGCTCTACAGACGCAGATTAGTTGAGATGAGACGGTTTTCAACAAAAAGATAACAAGTTTATTGTGTACAAAGCTTATGGCTGCAGGCTGTTAAATAACTTATGGAACTTTGAACATCACGTGGTTTATAATACAGTCCACTCTTCCAGATAACACAGCCTGTGGCTAACTTTCACTGAGGTGAAGCTCTCTAGTGAACAATGTTTCACTACTATAAATCTACCCTCGATCAAATCTCTGATCTCTAGTCCTTCCTTAACTAGGGATCTTAACTAGGCTTCCTTTAGTCTTCTTTGACTAAAGAATCTGGCCAGGTTTCTTTCTTCAGCCCTCCTAGACTGAAAAATCACCAGCCACTCACACACAAGCCTCTCTCTCAGGCCTTTCCAAGCCTCTTTCTGCTTTTTTTTAAAAAAACGCACATAACTTTTCCTGCTTGGCTCCACCCACTTCTCCCTCTCATGAGCTAGCCAGCCTCGTCTCCTTGGCAACGCTCACTGTGGATTCAAACCAGATGACTCCAGTTTTAGCTACTGTTACAAACACAAATACATACTCTAACAGTTAAACACAAACATAATAACAATGACTTCTGCACACCTCCTATACAACATTAGTTTGTCTGTTCATTCCCCTGTTGTGTTCTTATTTATTTTTAAATCAAAATGTCATAGAAGAAAGTGATGGAAATGTATTTCTAAGACAGAAAAGAAACTCACCTCAAAGTATGAAAGTTAATCCTGGGTGTCACATGTTACCACACTGCTTGCTCTTCTGTACATCGATATGTGAGGATAGATCATTATTGCTGGGTCTACTACTATGTATTTATAACCACTACCATTATTTCTTTATTGTTTCATAAATCACTTCTGCAATTTATGGTAGCCTGAAGTCTACCATTTGTTCTAAAAGGAATAGATCCAATGTATCAAATGAATTTACTTGTGCATTGAGGCATCGTCCATTGGGTCTACTCATTGTTCAACAGTTGGTTCAATGGGTTGCTTTGAACTAACATGATTAAGATCTTAGTCTGTGGCTTTATCACCTATTACATTAAATAAAATTAGGGAAAACAATAAAAATCACTTTAATGTGAAGAATAATTAAAGCGATAGAGTGAAATCAGCATTGAATGTCTCCCAATAAGATGAAAGAAGCATTGGAATTTCTACTTTTGGAAATAGCTTTGTGTTGAGCTTTAGCACAGCTGGTAAATCACCATCAGCAGTAAGATCTTACCAACCGAAAAGTTGTCAGTTCGAAGCCTAGGTTGGGGTGAGTACACGACTGTCAGCCCAGCTTACTGTTCACCTAAACAGTTCAAAAACAGCTTGAGAGAAATTAGATACCACTTAAGCGGGAGAGGTATTTTACAGCACCATAAAAGGAAATACCAGAAATGCCAGCAACCAAAAGGAAGGAGTAAGTCTGTGATGGCTCTTCGTCATAGAGGATGGAGCGACAGCACACCCCCCCCCCCGTGGCCAAAATTGAGCACAACCTCCAGAGTGCCAAAGTTGGATGCCGACACAACATACCTTTGTCTGTCTGTTTGTCCTGTCAATTTCAACTGCATTGAATGCTTGCCATGTAAGTGTTTTGTGATCCGCTCTGAGTTTCCTTGGGCAGATAGGGCAGAATATAAATAAAGTATATTGTTATTTTACTGACACAAAAATACAGTATGTCACAGCAAATGAGATATATATGCTGGATTTCATATTATAAAATCATAAGTTGAAGACTCCCCGAGCGTCTAGGACTGTGTGATGTATTTTTGAATGATGCGTGCAGATCCAAATAAGGTGGCATTTTGCAGTTGACAGATCGTGATTTTGTCAATGTTTATTGTTTCCAAATGCTGGCTGAGATCTTTTGGCACGGCACCCAGTGTGCCAATGACCACTGGGACCACCTGTACTGGTTTATGCCAGAGCCTTTGCTGTTCGATTTTGAAGTCCTGATAATGGCTGAGTTTTTCCTGTTGTTTTTCCTCAATGCAACTATCACCTGGTATGGCGACATCAATAATTCAAACTTTTTTCTTTTCCGCAATTGTGATGTCTGGCATATTGTGTTCCAAAACTTTGTCAGTCTGAATTTGAAAGTCCCACAGTATTTTTGCATGTTATTATTATTATTATTATTATTATTATTATTATTATTATTATTATCTCTTCTCTTAAAATATCTCTTATAAATTTTAGCTCACATATGGCTCTGCCCCAGTGATGAATACCAAAACACAAGGAGAATTTTTCTACAAGATGTTCCCAGGAGGGTCCCATCAGTACTGGGGAATTCAGCAGTTACTGCTTCATTTTAGGTGGACTTGGATTGGTGTGACTTATCTGAACGATGATAATGGGGAGAGGTTTGTGCACAAGGTGCTTCCCATGTTTGCAAAAAGTGGCATCTGCTTTGAATTCATACAGAAACTTCCAGAGTTGACATTTTCCAATGACGCTGACATGATTGTAAGCGAAGGAATAGAAACATGCCAAGTTATCATGGGAAGCAGTGCCACCGTGCTGCTTGTACATGGTGAAATTCAGACAACGGTTGTCTGGAGAATGTTACTCCACTTCTCAGAGTTTGATGGGATACTGAAAAAGACAAAGGTGTGGATTATGACGGCCCAGATGGATTTCGCATCACTCCCTTTTCAGAGGAGTTGGGGTCTAGATTTCATCCATGGGACTTTATCCTTTGCCATGCATTCAGAGGAGGTGTTAGGCTTTCAGAAATTTCTTCACTCCAAAAGCCCCGTGCCAGAAAGAGGAGATGGATTTATTAGGACCTTCTGGGAACACGCATTTCATTGTTTCTTTCCCAGCTCCAACCTAGATAATACTGATGAATTCTGTACAGGGGAAGAGAAACTGGAGTCTCTTCCTGGAATTATTTTCGAAATGGAAATGACTAGCCATAGCTACAGTATCTACAATGCAGTCTATGCTGTAGCCCATGCTTTACATGCCATGTATTTCTCCAGCATTCAATACAGGACACCAATGGACAGAAGGAGATGGATGCTTCTGAATCAAAAGCCATGGCAGGTAATTTCTGAGCAGCTAAATCATCATCATCATCACCATCATCATCTAATTACTTATTAATCGCCCTCCATCCAAGATGTTCTAGGCGATTTACAAGCTAAATTGTAAAAGATAAAAATACATACATACAGATATTGATAAAATTAACATAGATCAAAAGCTCTAGTAAAAAGCTAGGTCTTAAGTGCTAGAGTAAAAGGCCCTAAATCACGCATGGCTCTCATATAGGGCGGCAAGGAATTCCATAAGGCAGGGGCAGAAACAGAAAAAGCCCTGCGTCTGGTACTTTCGAAGTGCACTTCTCTAGGACCTGGTATATAGAGTAAGTCATGTTGGGATGGTCGTTGCGACCTCCGATGATGGGAGAAGGAGAGATGGTCCCTAAGGTACAATGGACCCTGGCCATAATGAATTTTAAATGTCAGAACTAGCATCTTATATAGACCACGGTACTCAGTTGGAAGCCAATGTAAATGTTGCAGCACTGGTGTTATATGGCATTTCATGGGCATTCTTGTGAGTAACCTGACTGCCGCATTCTGAACAATACGGAGCTTTTGGGTCTTAGACATCGGAAGGCCAACATACAGGGCGTTGCAATAGTCCAGCCTAGACGTGACCGTGGCATGGATGACTATTGCCAGAGCCTCATCAGATAGGTAGGGTGCCAATTGCCTCGTTTGTCGTAGATGGAAAAAGGCTTGTTTGCTGGCAGCGGCAACCTGAGCTTCCATTGTCAGCTGCAAATCCAAAACGACACCCAAGCTCTTAAAGGTAGGCGAAGGAGATAGGGCAGCACCATCGAAGGTGGATAGCAAATGCTAGAAATGCTAGAAAGATAACTCAACATCACTCTAAATAACTAAGCACTAATTTATTTGTAACTCTAAATTAAGAAGAGCCATTGAGGTCAGAAATGTGGCATGTCAGGTCAACAACAGCATCGTCTCTACAGCCAACTTATTGGCCCCGCTACTTAGATAATAATAGACAAATGCTTTTTATTATGTCCCACTATATACGATTTAACATTACTCAGCTTCCAATTTGTATATCCATCTGTGTTGGTTTCTACAATTGGGCTTTATGCAGGTTAAGTAAAGGTAGGTAAAGGTAAAGGTTTCCCCTTGACATTACTACACAAAATGATAGTCTCTCGTTGTGTGCCTTCAAGTTGCCTGTTGACATATGGTGACCATGTGAATTTCATAGGGTTTTCTTAGGTGGTTTTACCAGTTCCTTCATCTGGCAGTTTCCCATATATGTACTAACCAAGTACTAACCAGAAGTGACCCTGCTTAACCTCCAGGAGCAGATAGATCTGGGGTGTTTAGGATATTTTAATGACAAAAATTGGGGGAAAATTAAATTTATTGGTATTGTATTAATGTTGCAGGATCTGCCTTCAGTTGTGTCACAGTTCAATATCACATAAAAGAAATGCCCTTCACTTAACAAAGCAAGTGAGCACATGCAGTCATGAGCCATGGTGGGATTGATATGATCTTACAGTTGTTTTTTGATTGAAACTTTGACTGAGATTGCCATTTTTGTATTATGTTTTATTTTTGCTTGGGTTTTTGTACTGTATTTTATTTTCTGTAAGCCACCCCAAGCCCTGTTTGGAGAGTGGGCGGGATATAAATAAAGTTTATTATTATTATTATTATTATTATTATTATTATTATTATTATTATCTATTAGCAATCCTTGCCAGCATAACTAATAGGAGTTTTAAGAATCGTAGTTCTACAATAACTGCAAAGCTTCATGGTTCCCACTACATTGTAAATAAATTAGAAGTCAGGCATGGACAAACTTTGGCCCTCCAGGTGTTTTGGACTTCAACTCCCACAATTCCTAACAGCCAGTAGGCTCTGCTGTTGAGGCATTCATGGCCAGAATCACTGGGTTGCTGTGGGTTTTCCGGGCTGTATGGCCATGTTCCAGAAATTAGGCAAGTGAGATTTATATGTGGAATTGTGGGAGTTGGAGTCCTAAACACCAGTAGGCTGTCAGGAATTATGGGAATTGGAGTCCTTAACATCAGAAGAGTCAAAGTTTGCCCATACCTGGTATAGCTTTATCACCATTGTCCATCTCTGCTCCTCCTCCCTGGTCAGGAAGGTATATTTCCCTGATGACAGAGAAGAGAAGCCAACTGGCAGTGAATATGACAATAGGGAAGGTAAAGTGATGGCCCAGCAGGTGGAACGGCTGTTCGGCTAGCTGGACCATATAGACTGCCCTGCCACTCCTGTGGGTTGGGCACAAAGTATGTGGCCACCACTGGGCCACTCTAGGATATTATTTTCTGTTGATTAAACAGCCAATGTAGTAAACTCTGGGATTGATCCAAAGACTGAAGAGGCTTTATAAATAAAACTGGATGATAGCCTATAAGGGTGAAATCTCCCATGGTTGCACTAGTTAGGCCTCTTGACAGACATCACCACCAATGAATATTCACAAGATATTTTTTTTTTTTGCATATCCTTATGCATTTTCTTTCAGCTTCACCCGTATCTGTGGACTGTCTCTTTTAACAACAGTGCTGGGGAGCAGATTTCCTTTGACCAAAACAGAGAATTAGTTGCTGGGTTTGAAATTATTAATTGGGTTACATTCCCAAACAAATCCTTCCTTCGAGTCAAAGTTGGACGGACGGATCCTCATGCACCTCCAGACAAAGCGCTTACCATTTTTGAGGATGCCATAGTGTGGCCCAGGCAACTTAACCAGGTAAATGTACATGCACGATTCAATGCATATTACTTTGGTGTTCATTAAATGGTCTAGGATCTCATCAGACTTGGGGGGGCGGGTGTGTTGCATTTCATACTTCTTTCAGTGGGACCCAACACTGTCTTGATCACTAATGAACAGAAGGGTCATGGAGGGGTACTTCATGAAATTGAGTGTAACAGAGAAATCCACCACTTCCTATTTCACAAACAGATACCTGTTTCTATGTGCATGCAATGGAGTGGAATCAATTTGTGCCCAATTTGAAATCTCTCCATTTGTACTCACTGCTCTCTCCCCATGCTGGGGAGATGGAAACCCACAAGAAATCACGAGAAACAGTCCTTCATTTTTTATGGGCTTTGTGGGAGTCCATCTTTGAACCATCTTTGAAGTGTGTAGAGAATGACACTGGGGAGGAAAAACTTCTGACAAAGACCCAAATCTGGTTGGCCAGTGATGTCCAATTACCAAACATTGGGAATACTTTACTGTCTGGAGAATAGATTGTGCTTTTTCTGCATAGCAGGGAGTTGAACTGGATGACCCTTGTGGTCTCTTCCAACTCTATGGTAGATTCCATGAGTACTTTCAACCCACTTTATAAAATCTTCCTAATCTGATATTAGTTAACTCTGAGGCTATGTATGTATGTATGTATGTATGTATGTATGTATGTATGTATTTATTTATTTATTTATTTACAGTGTTTATATTCTGCCCTTCTTACCCCTCAGGGGACTCAGGGTGTATTACAATGCACATATACATGGCAAATATTCAAGGCCATTTAGACATACAACATATATAGACAGACATAGAGACATTTAACATTCCAGCTTTTCCGGCTTCATGAGAGCATACTCGATTTCGGCCACAAGGGGAGCTGCTTTTTCACCATCCACTTGTGACACCGAGTCCTTTGATGGAGTACTTCCTCACTTTTCTGCACACTGCTGAAAGGTTTTATGGTGTCATAAATTAGTTAAATTAGCCTTCCCACATAAAACGGTACCTAAATTTCCTACTTGTCAGATGCAACTGTCTTTCAGTCTGCATAGGTCGACAGCAAGCTAGACTGTTAATGGTTGGGAGCTTACTCCGACCTGGGCTGGCTTCAAACTCATGACCTCTCAGTCAGTAGTGATTTAATGCAACTGGCTACTAACTAGCTGCGCCACAGCTAGAAATATATGTGTTGCCAGCCCATCAGAAGAAAGCACAACAAAGAACTAATGTATGAACTTAGTTGTGTTATGAGTTTTCTAAATATAACAATTTGGGATCTTTCCCAAAATCCAGTGATTAGTCATTAGATTAGCCAATGCTGGGTCTCAAATTAGACTGGGATATACTGGTGGCATGCCAGATTAAGGCTCATGTGGTTTGTGGTTCCACAAGATCTTTCACTTTCTTTGCCAAAGAATGCCAGGGCTTCATCTGGGAATTGCTCCCAGGATTCTATAGCATTAAGACATTGCAGTTCAAGGGGTGACAAACTGCATCAACTCTACAGTACAGATGCACTCTTGGTTTCCAGAGTCCTAGTCCAACACCATGTTAACATGCATTTTGTCCTAAATCTTTTATACTTTGGTATGAAATACTTATGTCAAAATGCAAAACAATGTGTTTTAATGCACAAAGCAGTACTTATAATATTTTCTGGCTATTTTGGTTTGACGGACAGGCACGGCCCATTTCCATGTGTAATGACAACTGTAACCCAGGTTATAGAAAGACCAAGAAGGAAGGCAAGCCATTTTGCTGCTATGATTGCCTTCCATGCCCAGCAGGGAAGATTTCAGATAAAACTGGTAAGAATTGTCATTACTTTGACCTTAACTAATCTTCTTTGCAAACGTATTATTTCCTGAACATAAAATGTTACCCCCTGTTCAAAAATGCAAAAAGGTGCAAATGTTGCCTTGAATAACTGCTAAATTGTTGAAGATCTCCATTAGTCCAAAACCTTCTTTGTCAATGTTTGCTAGTATCAACCATTTTAACATTTTTTATATTTTATTTCAACACTTCCACTTATTATTTTAATTCCTAGCATTCGGACATTATTCTACAGTATTATGAAAATATGAAGATTTACATTTCACTAGGTTTGAATGCAGGGCCGGCCCTAGGTAATTTTCAATGGTAAGCAAACATTATTTTGGCGCCCCCTCCCCCCAACCAATCACTGAAAAATAAAACGTAGAAGGTAGAGGTGAATAAAAGAGTTACCTTACAAACCAGAAATTTACTTACAACATTATGTTTATATAGTTACATTACACAAATTAACTTTTTTAAGAATGCAAATATTTTACTAAACTTAGCAACAATTTTAAGTTTTTGTTGTTATTTTTGGTCTACAAGTACTACACAAAGGTTTCCTGGTCATGCTGTCTCTTCAGAGAAGATTTTTCAGACTAGGGGTTTGCTAATAACAGAGAACTCAATCCCATGCTTGTTGGGTCTGTCAATCAGATTTGTTTTGGAGAACGCAGCCCCAGGAGAATAGACACCTCCTTTTAAAGAAAGTGAACTCTTGTCCTTCAAAAGTGCCATGCCAGCCTGGACCATTACAATGGGTGTGGCAACATAGTCAGCCTCTGGCCCCTTCACTTTAGTGGATACTTTAACATCCAGTTTTCCTTAACACAAATAAACTTGAACACTTTTAAAATTAAAAAGAGATTTTTCTGGCTTTCAATTTTGAAAACTCGTGTACTATTATATCTGTTTCCATTTCATCCAACAAGCCATTTTCAATGGCCAAGGTTGCTAGTCCACTCAAAATCTAGAAATAGTTTTCTAAGATCTACAGAGACACTCGCTGGAACACCTCAGCAAGCGAGAGTCCAAAAGTGGCAGGCTCAAACCCAGCACCTCAGCCCATGGCTGATACCAGATGAGAGACTCCCCCCTGGGCACACAGAGGACTGGGCGACTTGGAAATGGAAAGGAATCACACAGGATCATATTTTTGCAGTCCATTAAGTGTGTTGATGACAAATCAGATAAAGGAATACTGGGGAAATTAATATAAAGCAGTGTGTATAAAGGGACATTACATTTGGTAATCTAATGCAGGCTTAAAGGTTTTAAAGATCAAGTCAGGGTCTGCTGCAGTTTTTAGTTTTGGATATGTTTTTTATGGATTTTAACTGAATTTTTAAAATACCAATGATATTTAATTCCATTTTAATGTTTGCATATTTGTGGATTTTAAACTGTACTGAAATGTTTTTAATCTAAGCCAACTTGAGTCTTCTTGGGGAGAGAAAAAGCAGGGTATAAATAAACATAATAATGTGTTGTGGAAGGCTTTCATGGCCAGAATCACTGAGTTGCTGTGAGTTTTCTGGGCTGTATGGCCATGTTCCAGAAGCATTCTCTCCTGACATTTTCCCCACATCTATGGCAGGCAACCTCAGAGGAACAAAATCTGGCTACCAGTACCCTCTAAAATAACCCTCTAAAATCAGAACAATAAATAAAGAGCAACACTAAAAAAGGGGGGAATTCCTGACATGAAGCAATCAGGGCCAGTTAACCGCTCCCAACAAAGGATTCCTGAGCAGCAACTAGCTCGGCTTCGAAGCTGCAAGGCCATTAAATACTCATCAAGATGACCAATTGCAACATTCACACTTACCTCAAGCAGACATGAGTTCTTTTTCCCACCCTGGACATTCCACAGATATACACACCCCACTTGCCTAGTTACAAACAGACCTCACAGCCTCTTGAGGATGCCTGCCATAGATGTGGGTGAAACATCAGGTGAGAATGCTTCACCAAGCACCAAAGAGCATTCTGAACTCCACCAATAATAGAACTGAACCAAACTTGGCATACAGGACTTCCATGACTAACAGAAAATACTGGAGAGGGGGTTGGGAAAAATAGACCCTGACATTTGGGAATTGCAGTTTACCAAGCACCAAAGAACATTCTGAGCTCCACCAACAATAGAATTGAACCAAACTTGGCATATAAGACTTCCATTACCAAATACTAGAGAGGTTTGGGGGAGGCATGTACAAAAGATGACATTTGCAGTACCTTTTGAGGAGGCCTCCTTGCTGCCCTGAGAGGGGTCCAGGCTCAGCTGCAGGGAAGGAAAGGGAAAGCGAAAGAGCCTGGCTGGCTGCCTCCCTCCTGGCAGCACGTGGAGGGAGGACTTCCCTCTCGCCTAGTGGGCGGGGCCTGCGCTTCTCCATTAGAAGGCTGTTGAGGGCGCATGGGGCCTGCAGGAGGAGGCGTGGCCTAAGGACAAAACAGCGCCCCCTGGCAAAAAAAAGTATTCCGCGACCGCTTACTTCGAGTAATGGACGGGCCGGCCCTGTTTGAATGCGTTTCCTATGCTTGGAAGTGGGTTTATTCTAACTCCCCCCCCCTTATATTTCTACTTTGTTCTCATTGTAGAACAGTGGTTCCCAAACTTTTTTTGACCAGGGACATCTTTGAATAAGGACCCTCCAAAAGTGTTAGAAATCAGTTTTTGGTCAACTTTAGATTCAGTTTGGTTGTTTGGGGTGCTGATTCAGAAAACCGCATTGGATAGACCCTATTATTATTATTATTATTATTATTATTATTATTATTATTATTATTATTATTTCCAAATTCAGACAGACAGAGTTTGGAGCACAATACTCCTGACCTCACAATTGTGTTAAAAACAAAGTATGGATCGTGGATGTTGCAATGCCAGGCGACAGCAAGTTTGAAGAGAAACAACTGGAAAAGCTGACACAATACGAGGATTTAGAGATCGAACTGCAAAAACTCTGGCAGAAGCCAGTAAACGTAGTCCTAGTGCTGAACGGTACACTGGGTGCAGTGCCTAAAGACCTTGGTCTGCACTTAAACACAATTGGCGCTGACAAAATGACCATCTGCCAGCTGCAGAAGGCTACCTTACTGGGATCTGCACGTATTATTCACCGATACATCACACAGTCCTAGACACTAGGGAAGAGTCCAATGTGTGATCCAATACAACAGCCAGCAGAGTGATCTTGTTTACTGTGGAATCATCTTGTGTCCGACAGGTCGCAGATTCGAATCCGGGGAGATGCGGATGAGCTCCCTCTATTGGCTCCAGCTCCTCATGTGGGGACATGAGAGAAGCCTCCCACAAGGATGATAAAATATCAGAAATCATCCGGGCATCCCCTGACACGGTGCAGACGGCCAATTCTCCTGACCCGACAAAAAAAAATCTTGTTGTGTTTCAAATAATATTAATAACAACAACAACAACAACAACAACAACAACAACAACAACAACAACAACAACAACTTGATTTGTATTCTGCCCTATCTCCCTGAGGGGACTCAGGGTGGATTCCAGCATAACAATGGCAAACTTTCAATGCCTAAATAAAACACACAATACTAACATAAAATCCCAGAAAACCCCCACATATAAAGTAACACTAAAACCTAACATCAAATTAAGATCTAACATCAGTAAATTAAACCTGCCATCAATAAATTAAACAATACGCAATCAGACAAAATTCTATAATAACATAAATCTAAATCTAAGCAAAACATCCACATTAGTGTACAACAGTCAACAAAGGTTCACAAAATGGTGTGGGTTTGAATCCCCTTCGGTGTGAGAAAAGCGGTATAGAAATACTGTAAATAAATAAATAAATATGTCATAAAATGAGGTCATTTGGCTGGCGTGGACCAGGAAAACCCAAATGCAAACAGTTCAGCTCTAATTTCTGATACAGAATATATACCATCCAGTAGTGGCCATCTCCTCGCCCACAGAAAACCATATTTAATAAGCCTCAGCACTATAAGAGGGTTTTGCAAGATCACTCACTCTCATTGCAACTGTGTTGTAACAGTGAGGTGGCAGATGATATTTTATTTCTTGCAGACCACTGGTGGTCCACAGACCACAGGTTGGAACCACTGTTGTAGAAAAACAATGCTGTAATATTCAATTTGCAGTGACGTAAACATTGGTCTGCTATGTATTACAAAGCAATTTCTGTTTCAGATATGAACGATTGTTTTTACTGCTTGGAAGATCAATATCCAAACCGTGACCAGGATTTGTGCATTCAAAAAAATATCATTTTCTTGTCTTACGAAGAGCCCTTGGGGATCTGTTTGGCCCTTCTTGCTCTTTTCCTCTCTTTCATGACAGTGTTCATGCTTGGGATCTTCATTAAGCACCAGGACACTCCCATAGTCAAAGCCAACAATCGGACCTTGACCTACATTCTCCTCACTTCTTTGCTGCTCTCTTTTCTTTGTGTTTTCTTATTCCTGGGTCAACCTGAGAGAATAATATGTTTCCTCCGACAAACCACCTTTGGGGTCATCTTTTCCCTGGCTCTCTCTTCTGTTTTGGCCAAAACGATTTTAGTGATTTTAGCTTTTATGTCCACCATGCCAAGGTCTTGGATGAGGAAGTGGATGGGAAAACACCTGGCCATCTCTATTGTTCTTTGCTGCTCCCTTATTCAAGCCACCATTTGTATCGTTTGGTTGGCAACTTTCCCCCCATTTCCTGATTTTGACATGCAGTCAATGGCTGAAGAAATTGTACTTGAATGTAATGAAGGTTCACCAGTTATGTTTTACTCTGTCCTGGGCTTTTTGGGATTCCTGGCCACTGTCAGCTTCATTGTAGCCTTCCTTGCCAGAAAGTTACCTGAAAACTTCAATGAAGCCAAGTTCATTACCTTCAGCATGTTAATTTTCTGCACTGTTTGGCTGTCATTTGTTCCAACTTATTTGAGTACCAAGGGGAAATATATGGTGGCTGTAGAGATCTTTTCTATTTTAGGGTCTGGGATGGGATTACTTGGCTGCATCTTTTTGCCCAAGTGCTATGTCATTTTACTGAAGCCAGAGCTGAACCATAAGAAACATTTAATAAGAAATGAGAATCTTAAAGGTTTATGCCTTTGGGTCCATGTAAATAAGTAATAGCTTTTCAATTTGTGGTTTTTGATAGACCACTGTGCTGGTACGGCTGTACCAGGAGCTTCAGCTTCATTTTCTTTCTATTGAGTGTTTGCATATATTCCAAGGTTCCATGCATTTGCAGTAAGGCGACTTCCCTTGGTTTGCAATTATAGGGCCAATGACCTGTCTATCATTGTTAAGTTTTGGTTCTGCCCCTTTTTCCAGGGCTCTGGGAGGGAAAGGGAACCATTTTAGTCAGTCTTATAGTTGAATGCTTAGCTACAGGACGCGGATCAGCTCCATCTGTAGACAAGCTTTGTTTCTCACAGCATCCGGGGGAAAGAGAAGGATCCGGGGGAAACACAACATCCGGGGAAACAGCCCTAAAGCATCAGAGGAAAACAGCTCCACATCTTTCATGGAAAAGAGCCAAAAGAACTCCGGCCGGAGAATCTACAGAGCCTTGACTGGTAGGTCTACTCGGGTAACCAGAAGCAATTGGAGCCGGAAGTAGAGCCCACACCAGCAAGCATAGAAAGCAGATTGCCAGAGAGGGGTTAAAAAGGGTTTTCCTCGTAAAGGATAGAAACATTTCTCCAAGCAAGGTGCCTGTCCACTGTAGACAAGTTAAGAAGCATTTGTTTGATTGTTTGATAAAGATCTAAGAAGTACTTGTTTGATCTGTTGAAGATCTAAGCAATAATAAAGGACTTTGTTAAACTTTTCAAGCATCTAGAGACTTTTGTATAGGAAAATCCTTAGGCCTCTCACTCGAGGCACCCCAGCTTCCCGCTGGGCACAAAGAGCACGTCCTATTCAAAAGCCAATTGCTATAGGCCCAGCGTGTGACAGCGCAACCACAGAAATATTTCTTGTTTCTCATATGAGTGCACATGTAGTATATGCAAATAACAGAACCCAGAAATGATCTAAACCCAAAGATCAAATGTATACTCATTTCACTCACACCTTAAAACTCATATAAAATACTGTATATATCTATCATTCATATTTCACTTCCATCCTTGGGATGTATTTCTTTACCATGCTGTGATCTTAGTTTGACATTTAGGTGAATATTAATAATCAATATGTTACTTAAATTTGGAATAGGTATGCTATTTATTTATTTCTTTTTATTTATTATATTGTGTATACCTCACATTATATCACAAGGATCCATTCACTTTACACATTTATGGTGCAGTCGTTCCACTGTAACTATGTCAAGTGATTTCAACTCTACAAAAACTGCAAGTTTGGGACCTGGTGTGTCAAGCTCCAAAAGGACAGAATAAGATACATATAGGATGAGTGCAAAGAACAGAGGCATTCATTCACCTTGGCCTAAGTGTATGCTAGCAGAATCTGAGCTCCCAAAACAGAGAATTCCCTTTTTTTCAACACTGGCTTTTGGAATTGATTCCCACTGTGTCTTTGCCAGCTGGTAAATGAAACTAGTTTTTTCAAGGATCTCCTTGGCTTTCTCTCATCATCTGACATCAATGTGATTTGATGGCTCTGTTTCTGCCTGGCTGGATTGGGACAATAGGTCTCAGCTGGACATAAAATGGTTGTCAGGGGTGTTGGCATAGCTTAAATGGGGTTTGATTTGGTGATCGGGGTGAGGAAACATTCCCAGCAATAAAATCAGATAAAATCTGGAAAGGCCTCGTGGTTCTTCTTAAACCTATGATATCATAAAATCATAGAATCATAGAGTTGGAAGAGACCTGGTGGGCCATCCAGTCCAACTCCCAGCCAAGAAGCAGGTAAATCATATTCAAAGCACCCCTGACCATCCAGCCTCTGCTTAAAAGCCTCCACCACACTCCAGGACAGAGAATTCCACTGCTGAACAGCTCTCAAGGTCAGGAAGACTTTCCTAATGTTCAGGTGGAATCTCCTTTCCTGTAATTTGGAGCCATTTTTCTGTGTCCTAGTCTTCAGGGCAGCAGAAAACAAGCTTGTTCCGTCCTCCCTATGACTTCCCCTCACATATTTATACATGGCCCTCATCATGTCTCCTCTCAGCCTTCTCTTCTGCAGGCTAAACATGCCCAGCTCTTTAAGCTGCTTCTCATAGGGCTTGTTCTCCAGTGCCTTGATAATTTTAGTCGCCCTCCTCTGGACACATTTCACCTTGTCAACATCTCCCTTAAATTGCGGTGCCCAAAATGAGACACCTTGTGATTCCAGGTGTGGTCTGACCAAGGCATAATAGAGGAGAAGCCTGACTTCCCTGGCTCTAGACACTAAACTCCTATTTATGCAGGCCAAAATCCCATTGATGTTTTTGCCGTCGCATGACATTGTTGCCTCATGTTTAACTTGTTGTCCACAAGGACTCCAAGATCTTTTTCACATGTCCTGCTGTTGAACCAGGCATCCCCCCATGTAAGCAGCATTCAAATTGGCAATCGATTCCACCTGCCTTGGATGATACAGTTAGATAGGGGGGAAAATGAAAGCTACTTACACCATAATTTACTTTTTTCTTCAAAGATTTATATCAGGAATGCATTTGCAAAGATCTTATTAACATGTTTTCTTCTCTTACAAACTCTATAATCCAAAGTAGGCAATTTTCTCTTCTGCATTTATCCAAATCAGTATAATAACTTGTGCTTCTTTTTTCATGTCCCTAAAGAGATACAGTAGTCAAAAGGGAAACTGTGAAGAAAGACCTATTATTAGTACTTCTTGTGTCTTTCACAACATGGGCAATAACTACACACAGTTGAGTTACTGCTTCTTTACAGCTCACTATTCTGGCATTGAATCTGCAGAGGAAGGAACCAGATAAATCTGGTTTCGCTAGTCAGAAGTTCTAGCATGGCAATGTGGAAAGAGATGGCTAACACCAATTTAAGACTGTTTTGGAAAGTGATGGCATTTATGGTGGTAATATTACTGCCTCAAGTGGTAGGCAAGAATCCTAGTGTTCAGTGTTCCTTCAGAGAACCTGTCCAGACAGAATATCAATATTATCAACCTGGAGAGATCATCATTGGAGGAATTGTGTCTCAGATCTACATATTTTCAAAGAAAGTAACATTTGAAAGACCTCCATCTCAAGAACTTTCTGATGTTCCTCTGTAAGTAGCTCAGTATTTCATTACATAATGAATCTGAAATGCATCCATTTTTCAATTTGCTTGTTAAGACTTGGTAGTGCCAATGAAAACAATGCCAAACTGAAATAATGCATAAGTTAGGCACAATTAACTTAAATTCCATTGAATCAATGACAAACAATATCAAAATTGATATTTTGGTAAATATGGCCCTCTCCCTTGACCATTTTGTTATTAATTCATCTCCTTTCCATCACCACTTTCCTTTCCAGTAAATGAAATATTTATTGAACAATAATAAATATTTCATTTACTGTGGCCAACCTTCCCTCCCTTTTTCTCTTCTTTCTTTCTCTCCTTCCTTCCCTTTCCTTCTTTCTTTCCCTTTTTTCTTTCTTTCACTCCATCCTTCCTTCTCTTCTTCTTTCCTTCCATCCCCCCTCACCTTTTCTATCCCTTCCTCTTTCCCCTCTTTCTTCTTTCTCTACCTATTTTTGGACTGTAACTCCCAGCAGTCCTCCTGATCCATCCATCTACCTACCTACCTACATACCTACCTCTATCTAATCTATCTATCTGGAGGATTGCTGGGAATTGCAGTCCAGGAATAGAAAATTGGAAATATGCAGGGATTGGGATGCTCTCAAATAAATCCAAGGAGAAGAAAGCTTGCCACTTGGAAGCAATGCATTTGGATCATCCTCCTCTCCCAAAGGGCCTGGTCTAGGGGATGCTGGGAGTTGTAGTCTGGAAGAGAGTGTGGAAATGCTATTGTGTGTTTTGTTTGCCAGAAGGAGTTGTTTTTGCACATGCACTGTAGTGTCTTTTTGCTTTTTTGGCTTTTCAAGTCCCTTCTGCTGTGAGAGCTCATTCATGCTCTTCCCGGATTTGAATCTGTGACCTGTCGCCACAAGGGTTTAACCCACTGCACCACTGGAGGCTCCAACATATTACTCATGTAACACTCTATTCTGGATTGCTATCACTTTTGACATTTGCCATGAGTTGGGAGAGTTTAAAAACCAAACTATAATATTTCTTAGCCCTATGAAATGCAAACCTTCCTACTGTCTCACTCTCTGCCTCACTCGCATTCTTACGCTCTCCTTTGTGATGGGTGGGTGTTAACATTTGATTGAACTGGAACAAATGCTCTCATTTGAAGAAGGTAGACAAAATAAATATCACCTTTTACAGGCTTATTACGCATCTCTATCAGCACATTGCAGCCTTGGCGTTTGCTGTAACGGAGATCAATGACAACCAACAACTCTTATCCAATGTCACTCTGGGTTTCCACATCTATAACAACCGTTTCACTGAAATTGGGACCTACCTTGCTGTGATGGAACTTTTGTCCAGACGGAGCAGACTTCCTGTCAATTACAAATGTGAGACCGAGAATCTTCCAGCAGCAGTGATTTCAGGACCCATCACTGACTATTGTCTTCATTTGGCAACTATCCTGTGTATATACAAGATACCACAAGTAAGATGTGTATACAAGCACAAAATCTTAGCAATCTGTTAAAGCTTAAACTGTACTCCATCAAGTTGTAGGTTCACAATGGGGAGAATTGTGCTTAAATATAATGGAATGGAATGGGAGAGTTTGGTTTAGTATTCTGATTGATGTGTTACTTGCTTTATACAGAAGACTGTTTTTCATTCTTCACTCGTATTTCTACAGACCAACATTTAATAGGAAGTTAATGCCTAAATAAATACTATAAAGATACCAGATCCCATCTGATTTTAATATTTGGATGGGAGGCTGACAACAAAACTAAGATGCCACAGACTATATTTCTGAGAAACTGGGAAAAAATATCTTAACGTGTCTTGCTTAAGAAAACTTTTGAAATTCATGTGGTCACCATATTTTGGCAGCTGACTTGAGAGTACACACAGGTTGTGCGTGTAATAGTTCAGCCTTTGAGATTTTGATCACTTGATTTTTCTCAGTGACTCTTATGTACCTCAGATTTAGGATGCTTTCAATGGTTATAAGAGCTGTTTAGCAGTGGAATATGCTGCCTCAGAACGTGGTGCTGTATTGTTCTCTAGAGGTTTTTAAGCAGAGGGTGAATGTGCATCTGTTGTGGATGTTTTGAATCCATGTTCCTGCATGACAGGGGGTTGAATGGCCATTGGGGTTTCTTCCAATTCTATAATTCTATGCATATGTGTGTAGATCTTATCTGGGTTCTTTGGAGTTCTTTCTCCTTATTCTGCCCAATCCCAACTCTTTGTCCTCATTTGCATTGAAGCCTCCAAGCTGTCTTACACTGCCACTCCTTTCTTGGTGAACAGACAGAAATCGAAAAGCACTTGGTAACCCCATCCCCATAGCCAGATGCACAGGAATTAGAGAAGTGTTGGGATGCCTGGAGAAACTCCATGGACTCCGTGGACATGTAGCTCAAAGCATCTCCAATCCTGTTGAAGTCAAGAGACATGCAACGTTGCATTTGTGACGATCTCAAATTTGATTGATACAGACAAGCAGTCTTTCACAAATAATTGGTGGACATTTTTTAGGTCAAAATTGGCATTGTGAATTTGTGCTTTGATGCAAACATAAAGCTACTCCAGTCGATTGCAGTCTCTGACCACAGTTGAGGACCACAGACATTGGCTGAACATGCTAGGGACTTCTATCATGAGCTAACCCAATAGTGACAACTCACTGATTTGGAGTTCAAATGCTCCCGTAGAAGTCAATTTGCTAGTGCATTTCAGCACAATTAGCATTAGAAAATCCATTGCATGAACAGAAATAAAAGCAATAATCCATAATAATAATAATAATAATAATAATAATAATAATAATAATAATAATAATGCTTTATTTATATTCTGCCCTATCTCCCCAAAGGGACCCTCAGGGCAGATCACAAAACAAATATGCGGCAAACATTCAATGCCATTTTGGACAGGCAGGACAGAGAAGGAGAAAACAAAAAAGAGGTATGTTGGGTTGACATCCAGCTTTTTGGCGCCTTGGAGGTTGTGCTTGATTCCAGCCACAGAGGGGTGCTATCGCTCCATCCTATATGACAAAGAGCTATCAGGACTTCCTCCTTCCTTTTGGTAGTCGGGCATTTTCTGATCTTTTTCTTTTTATGGTGTCATAAAATACCTCCCCTGCTTTTTAGTGGTACCTAATTTTTCTACTTACAGCTGTAAGCTGTTTTCGAACTGCTTAGGTAAACAGTGAGCTGGGCTGACACACCAACCTGGGGCTTCGAACTGGCAACCTTTCGGTTGGTCGATCTTATAATTGCTGGTGATTTACCAGCTGTTTTAAAGCCCGGCCCATAAGAAAATATTTAATGGAAATAGAAATTTTGATTCAGGTTTCATTGATGCCCATGTTTGATATCACTTCAGTTCCTCTCTATTATTTTTTTCAATTAGCTTATCTTTGGAACATCTCCTGTAGTGAATAATGATGCCCAAGATATCTTCCTTCATCGTATGTTCCCAAATATTGGTTGCCAGTATGATGGGATTCTTCAGTTACTTTTGCATTTCAACTGGATATGGATTGGAGTAGTTTGTCTGAAGGATGATACTGGAGAAGGATTTGTACAAAATGTTCTTCCCACGTTTGCTCTGAAAGGCATTTGCTTTCATTTCATTGCAAGATTACCCAAATATGCCTTTACTGATGGATTTGATGAATTTGTAGAGGAATCTTATAAAATTATTACCGTTGCTATGGGAAGTACTGCCAATGTGATTGTTGTGTATGGTGAAAGCCCCACTATTATGGTTATAAGAATGATGGTATATGCTGCAGAAATAAAGGATACACCCATGGAAATTGGCACAAAGGTATGGGTTATGACAGCTCAAATGGAGTTTGCAATGCTTTCTTTTGTAAGAGACTGGGATATAGACTTCCTTCATGGGGCTATTTCCTTTGAAGTTCATTCAAAGGCACTTTCAGGATTCAAACACTTTCTTCAGACAAGAAACCCCCTCTCAGAAAAAAAAGACAAGTTTCTGTGGACTTTCTGGGAAGAGGTATTTAATTGCGACTTGCCTAATCCTTCATTAGACAAGAAGGATAATACGTTCTGCACTGGGAAGGAGAAACTAGAGCATCTTCCCACTTCTGTTTTTGAACTTAACATGACCAGCCATAGCTACAGTATCTACAATGCTGTCTATGCAGTTGCACATTCTTTGCAAGCCATGCATTCATCTAAATTGAAACACAGAGCACTGCCAAATGGTGCAGGAGAGCAACTTTGGAATATATATCCATGGCAGGTAATCTCACTAATACAGAATGGTTTATTTTATATATAATGCAACAAGTATTGTAAATCTGGAGATGTGTTTTGTATGAAAAGGTGGAATATGGTTCTTTAGCTGATATGCTATTATTTCACTCCGTATTACAAGTATTTGAAAGTGTTCTGCTTGCATTAGAGTCTAAATATACTTGGCCCTTTTGATCTTTTGAGAGGATTGTGGTTTGTGCCTTCTACACATATTTAAATTGAGAATTTTTGATGAATTATATCTTGTAGTGGTATTGCAGGGCCCTCAGATGGCGCAGTGGATTAAACTGCTGTTTTGCTGAACTTGCTGACCGAAAGGTCACCGGTTTGAATCTGAGGTACGGGATGAGCTTCCCCTGTTAGCCTCAGCTTCTGCCAACCTAGCAGCTCAAAAACATGTAAATGTGAGTAGATCAATAGGTACCGCTTCAGCAGGAAGGTAACGGCACTCCATGCAGTATTGCCGGCCACGTGACCTTGGAGCTGTCTATGGACAACACCAGCTCTTTGGTTTAGAAATGGAGATGAGCCCCAACCTCCAGAGTCAGACATGACCGGATTTAATGTCAGGGGAAAACCTGTACCTTTTTAGTAGTATTGCATTGAATATATTGCTCACGGTGAGCAATATAATGATAGCAGACCTATCATTCAGCACAGATGAATTTGGTACCTTGCAGGAAACTATCACCAAAGTTTTGGGCTCAAAGGGAGTAAAGGACCAGAATTTGATTAGAGACTTACATCTTTGTAAGTGTAGTTCATCATCACCATCATAAGTGATCCCTCAGGGACGGGTATGACTGCCTTCCAAGTATAGGGCCTTGGCGATGGGTCTGTAGGTCATTATAGAGACCTATTCCTGATCTGCATGTTCTTTCGCAGTGAGGACATTGATTTCCAGGTGGAAGGCTGTACCAACAAGGGTTAGCTTGATGCAACTTCCTCTGGACACATTTCTCCCTCTTCTAATTCCACAGTACTGTTGGTAATAGCTGACTTCCAATTAAAATGCTCAAGGGCCAGGGCTTTCCGGTTCTTGGTGTCCATGCCACAATTTAAAGGTTAACTTTAAGTCCATCTTTAAATCTTTTTTCCTGTCCACCAACATTCCATTTTCTGTTCTTGAGTTGGGAGTATAGTAACTGCTTTGGAAGACTGTGATCAGACATTCAGACAACATGGCCAGTCCAGCAAAGTTGATTGAGGAGGATCATCATTTCAATGCTGGTGGTCTTTTCTTTGTACAGGATGCTGACATTTGTCTGCTTGTCTTCCCAAGAGATTTGCAGGATTTTTCAGAGACAATGCTGATGGAATTATTCCAGAAGTTAGATGTGATGTCTACAGACATCAGAAGTGTAGTTACATGTATGGAAAATAGTATTTAGCAGTTCCATGGCATCCATATTCAGTAAGGTGTTCCCATGACATTACTAAAGGGCCAGTAGGCAATGTGACAATTGTGCATTGAATCTTATGCCCATTAAAACAGGTATGAAATGGGACCCAATGTGCAGTTTTACTGTTCCAAATTAGGACACGAACAAGAGAGTGCTGATGCACATTGGAAGAGCGTGATACAGCCTGATAGTCCAAAGCATACATTATCACTTTGAGATATGTCTTTCATCTTTCTATGCATCTCTCCATCAATTCCTTCCTATTCTCATTTAGCTCCACCAGTTTCTGAAAAGAATTGCATTTAACAATAGTGCTGGGGAAGAGGTTTCTTTTGATGAAAATGGGGAATTATTAGCGGGATTCAATATTATCAACTGGGTCATATTTCCAAATCAGTCTTTTGTGAAAATAAAAGTTGGAACAATGGAACCTCAGACTCCTGTAGACAAGAGGTTTATCATTCAAGATGATGCCATTGTGTGGCCCAGCATCTTCAACCAGGTAAGTTCACCTTTAGAATTAATCCAAATATTTCTCCCGTGATGAACATCATTTTTCAAATCTTGACATTAGAAGCTTCTCCTCACCAGACTAGATATAATAAAGAACGATATTGTCCATTGTCTAAACATAGTCTAAACATTGTCTGGTTACAGCCCGTGTAGACTACTGCAACACGCTCTATGTGGGGTTGCCCTTGAAGACTGTCCGGAAGCTTCAAATGGTCCAATGAATGGCAGCCAGATTGCTAACAGGAGCAACGCTCAGGGATCATACAACTCCTCTGCTGCGCCAGCTCTACTGGCTGCCAGTTTGCTACTGGGCAAAATCCAAAGTGCTGGCTTTAGCCTATAAAGCCCTAAACGGTTCTGGCCCAACTTACATGTCCGAATGCATCTCCCCTTATGAACCATCTAGGACCTTAAGCTCGTCTGGGGAGATCCTGCTCTTGTTACCACCTTCGTCACAAGTACGTTTGGTGGAGATGAGAGACCAGGCCTTCTTGGTGGTGGCCCCTCAGCTGTGGAACACCCTCCCTATATATTAGATCAGCCACCTCCCTTTTAATATTTCAGAAAAAAGTCAAGACATGGCTTTTTGAACAAGCGTTTGCAAATGCAGAGTAACTGACATAAGAAAATGGAACGACTAGACAATGAGTCTGCACAATGTCTTTAACAAGGAGACACTATGAATTTATATTTTATTGATTTGCTTAGTCTTTAATTGTATTTATGACATTGTAAGCATTGAATTTTGCCATGTTAACCACATTGAGTTGCCTATGGGCTGAGAAAGGTGGTATATAAATACAGTAAACAAACAAACATGACAAAAGAGTTTTCCGGCAGTGGCAAAACAAACAGAATGTCCTTATTTACAATGGTGGTAGTCATAACAAAATTTTCAGTCAACGGTTGCCAAAATCCTGCATCATATCATCTGAACATGAGGAAGAACTTCCTGACTGTGAGAGCCGTTCAGCAGTGGAACTCTCTGCTCCAGAGTGTGGTGGAGGCTCCTTCTTTGGAAGCTTTTAAACAGAGGCTGGATGGCCATCTGTCAGGGGTGATTTGAATGCAATATTCCTGCTTCTTGGCAGAATGGGGTTGGACTGGATGGCCCATGAGGTCTCTTCCAACTCTTTGATTCTATGATTCTATGATTCTATGATTCTATGAATACAAGACTCAGTATCCTCCACTCCAGTCTCTCTAATCCTTTCAGCTACCAAGCTTTAGGGGACAATGTCAAGGGTTTTAGATGTTTATCTTCCCTTTCTCTGGAGAACTGAGGTGGGAATAGGTGGAATCCAAGGGGCACTGATTTACAAATTAACCAGTACAATACATAAACAAACACTTCTAGAATCATAGAATCATAGAGCTGAGAGAATACCAGAAGCACCATTCAGTGTATACAGGAAAACACAATCAAAGCACTGCTGATAAATTATTATCCAGCCTCTATTTTAAAACCTCAAGAGAAGAAGACTCCAGCACACTCCCAGGCAGCATATTTCACTGTTTAACAACTCTTGCTGTCAGGTAATTCTTCCGAATGTTTAGGTGGAATATCTTTTCCTGCCATTTTAATCCATTGTTCCATGTCCTAGTTTCTAGAGTAGCAGAAAAAACATCTTCCCACCTCTTCAACGTGATGTCCTTTCAGATATGTAAACATGACTATCACATCCCCTCTCAACCTTCTTTTCTCCAAGTAAACATGCTCAACTCCCTAAACTGCTCCTCATAGGATTTGGCCTCCAGACCTTTGATCTTTCTGATTGGCCTTCTCTGAATATTTCTCCATCACTCCATCCAGCCTAGTGCTTCCTAATGCTTCCAGCCACGTACTTAGCATACTAGCACTCCAAGAATTATGATCAGCAGAAGGGAAGTTTTGGATGGTCTAAAAGAGGTTTCTACCCTATCCAAAGTAAATCATACATGTGATTATAAGACTATTACCTTATTACAGAACCAAAATATGTACAAATGTATATTTCTCTAGCTGAGCCAGCAGGATTCAATTTTCTAGAAGACATTCCAGTTTGTGTGTGTGTGTTTTCTTTTAATGGGCAGGCACTACCCTTCTCTAGATGTAACGATAAATGCCGGTTGGGCTTTAGTAAGAGAAAGAAGGAAGGAGAGCAGTTTTGCTGCTATGATTGCATTCCATGTCCTGAGGGCAAGATTTCAAATTGCACAGGTACGAATCATCTGTATTTATCAGTGGACTCAGGCATCATACCTACATCTCAGAAATTGATTGTCAAGTATATTGTAAAGTTTTATATTTGATTTTTTTGTGTCAGTTGCGACTTGAGAAACTGCAAGTCACTTCTGATGTGAGAGAAATGGCCGTCTGCAAGGACATTGCCCAAGGGACACCCGGATGTTTTACCATTCTTTCATGTCCCTGCATGAGAAGCTGGAGCTGACAGATGGGAGGTCACTCTGCTCCCTGGATTTGAACCACAGGTCTTTTGGTCAGCAGTCCTGCCGGCACAAGAGTTTAACCCATTGCACCACCAGGGGCTCCTTTTATATTTGCTGAAAGATGGCTGATATAAAAAAGTTCTCCAAATATCTCTGTTGTTGTAAATAACGATTGTGCAGATATACAGGAAGTTAAGCCTCAGTGGGTCCCCTGATTTTTCAAGTACTGCCCATTTGCTACATTTAAAGGTATATGGATGTGGAAACATGAGAAGATAGTCCATGTATATTCTCAGTGCAACAGTAGCATTCACTGAGATTACTTTGGTTGTAGAATACAACAAATTCTGGCAAAGAAAAGGTGTTTCATAACAAAGCTGGTAAATCACTACATTCCGGATGTTTAGCACAGCTGGTAAATCACCAGCAATTCTAAGATCTAGCAACCAAAAGGTTGCAAGTTCGAAGCCTTGGGTCAGCGTTAGCTGCCGACTGTCAGCCCAGCTCACTGTTTACCTAAGTAGTTCAAAAACAGCTTTAGCTGTAATTAGAGAAATTAGGTACCGCTAAAAGCATGGGAGGTGTTTTACGATGCCATAAAGAAAGAAGATCAGAAAATGCGGGTTGACCAAAAGGAAGGAGGAAGTCGTGATGGCGCTTCGTCATAGATGAGAGAGCAACAGCACCTCGAGCCCAACCTTCCATGGCACCAAAACAGCTGGATTGAGTCCAAACAACGCACCTCCTTCTGTTCTGTCTGTGTATTGTCTATACAAAAGTGGCCTTGAATGTTTGCTGTGTTGTGCATTGTGATCCACACTGAGTCCCCTTTAGGTTGAGAAGGGCAGAATATAAATAAAGTGTTGTTTTTTTTCCTGAAGAGGCTGAAATCTACATTCTCTATTAGTCTATTTGTAGAGCAACCACAATGTGTTGGTTTTTCACCTTGAAACTCCTTGTTTTTCAGATGCTGATGAATGTTTTGAATGCCCCGGATATCAGTATCCAAACAATTACAAGGATAGATGCCTTCCCAAAGAAATCATCTTCTTGACTTTTGAAGAACCTCTGGGGATCGTTTTAGCTGTGTTTGCTCTCAAATTTTCTCTCATCACCGTCTTCATTCTGGGCATCTTCATGAAGTACAAGGACACTCCTATTGTCAAAGTGAACAATACGAACCTCACCTACATTCTCCTGACTTCCCTCCTGCTTTCCTTCCTTTGTGCTCTGCTATTCATTGGCCGACCTGGGAAGGTGACATGCCTCCTTCAACAAACTTCTTTCAGTATGATTTTCTCAGTGGCACTTTCTTCCATTTTGGCCAAAACCATCACGGTCATTCTAGCTTTTATTGCCACCAAGCCAGGATCCATGATAAGGCGATGGATGGGGAAGAGACTGACATATTCCATTGTTGTTTCTTGCTCCCTTTTTCAAGCTACTATTTGTTGCATCTGGCTGATCACCTCTCCTCCATTCCCAGACCTTGACATGTACTCAGTGACTCAAACAATTGTACTCAAATGTAATGAAGGCTCAGGTGGTATGCTTTATGCTCTTCTGGGTTTCATGGGTTTCCTCGCTCTTGTCAGCCTCACTTTGGCTTTCTTAGCCAGGAAGTTACCTGACAGTTTTAATGAGGCCAAGTTTATCACCTTCAGCATGTTGGTCTTTTGCAGTGTTTGGCTGTGCTTCATCCCAACATACCTGAGCACGAAGGGCAAAAATATGGTGGCTGTGGAGATTTTCTCTATCTTGGCTTCCAGTTTTGGTTTATTGAGCTGTATCTTTTCACCAAAATGCTACATTATCTTGCTGAAACCCGAGCTAAACAGCAAGAAGCAGCTAAGAAAAAAAAGGAACTAAAAACTCATCTACTTTTCTAACACAGCTAATGTTACCTTCCACTGATTCCCACTTCTTTAATTTATCCATTATTGTATCTTAGAGATATTTCTCAAGATAATTGTCTCAGTTGAGCAGGATTTACTTTACATGTGATTCAATACTGAGTACCTGAGAATTTGTTAATACAGTTGAGGGTGAGGTGGACTTTTTGTATGGTAGGTGTTCAATTTTTAAATATAGTGCTTATTTTATTTTATTGACACACATATTGAACTGTTTGATTTTAGTATTTATATGTATAAAATTGGTTGGAAATAGCAGCCTTCCAAGCCTTCACTATTTGTTTGTTAATTTATATATTTGCTAACCTGTACTGTATGTATATATTGAATTGCCAGTTGGACTATACCTCTTTGGTGTGGGAGGGGCTGCAGACATGTGATTGCAGTGCACATGTTCAGACTCAAGACTCCATTTTGTTACTAGTATGTTTTTGGACTTCAATGTTAGCAGTCCGTTTTAGACCTCAGTGGAGGTGAATGCAGTATGTTTTTTGACTTCAATGAAAGCAGGTATGCTTTTGGATTTCAATAGAAACAGATGTCTTTTGGACTTATGCAGGAAGAGTTTACTATATGTTTGCTCTGAGAAGCAGTGAGTACAGTTAAACAGTTAGAACTTTCATAAGATGATTACTTAAAGACTTTGGTCTTTGGACTCTTAAGAATGATGCCTTGTGTTCTCAACACAGATAAACTACATCTTATCTATAAATGTACTTGTATGCTGAATTAATACAAGATGATTATGAATAAACAAGATATGTTACTTTTTAAAGATGACTTTGGTTTTTTTTTGTCTCTGAGTGCATATTTTAAACTAAGAGGTTCTAAGGGAGTATATATATTTTAGACAACTGTGGTTTTAACTTCAACTTCAAAGAAACATTTTAAAAACTCTGCTAGCAAAATATTTGTTTTTTGTGCAGTGGCATATCTTTATCCCTGTCAGTTCAAAGGCATGATTTATCACTTTAACAACCGAGTTACCTGTGTGCCATTACATGAATGCTTGTGAACATCACTTTTTCAAAGGGTTGACTTCTAACAAGGTCATGCCTTTCCTTGACTAGTGGTTTTCACAAGATGGTTTCAAGATGAGAGTCACAGTTGCCAAAATAATATGACATCATTTTTCTTTTTCAAAAAGGTTATGAATGCCATTTTTCCCAAAAAATATTTACCTTGTTTTGAAATTTTATTGTGTTGTCTCATGCTATTGTTTCCTGCCTTCATTCCTATGGGCAAAAAAGTAGGATAAAAAAGTATTGATTGGAAACTTAGAGAAGTGTTGACAACTGCAATGTACAAACTGCTTCTGATCACCTTTCTCAAGTTCTTTTCCAGACAAAATATCACATGTATTTCTCTTATAGACACATCATTTTGTTTGATGACAAAGATTATTAAGCCCTTTCTACTAACTAGTATTTACTCAATTTTCCTTGTTTTTATCAAACTAGCATTTCTTGTATTCCATTTTCCTTGAATATTTATCATACTGCCATTTAAGGGGGAGAGTGGATCCTGAAATGTTGATAAATTATGGATAACATTGATATGAGATTTGCTTTAGAAGGAGGGAAATGAACTTAAAGCATCATTGTCTAGATATATAAATAGGAGTTTCATGCATCTGTTAAATGGTTCACCCAGTGTTATTGTCTACTATTGTATTGCTCATTCTTGAACTCACACTTGATCAGACTCCATTTCAACACGTAGTTTTATAGAACATGTACTATATCAGTCTTCTGATGAATACCAACATTGTCCAACCAATTCTCCTTCTGTCGGTATATCAGCTTAATGTCCTGTTGAAAGATACAGAGGTATTCTTACGATCCATAAAAGTAAAGAATTACTAGAAGGCATTGACAAATAGTTACATGTAATCTAAGAATCCTTAACTGCTTGGCAGTTGTATCAATTAATCCCACCAAGTTTAGAACCATTTAATAAAGTGTTAAATCAGTCTACAGGTAAAACCAATTGATTCATGTGGCCCACTGGGGAGGTCCAGACTCTATCCCATGCTTCTGGAGAGAAAAAGCTTTTCCATTTACAGGTGCACTATAATAAAATCTATGCAGAGGAAGAAGCACAATCATGCACGGAACCACATCTGGCCAGTCGTTGCCTTTCAATCGAGTGTGACACATTGTCGCGATCCAACAGGTAACTGTCAAATTCTGTTTTCTGTTTCTGCAGGTTGCAATAGTGGTGAGTAGAAGGATGGCAGGGACCTGGTGAAATGCTGACCATGGACTGGAGACCAGTTGGGTGTCCCCAGAGGTCATGGGCTGTCAATCGGAGGCAGCAGTGGTACCACTTTTGTCACCATGCACAGCAAAACCAACAGGGAGGGCCGCACCCTCCCAACCTGAGTTGTTATGACCACAGTTGAGGCCCATACCCCAATCCAGTTTTATGCAGATGCAACCCCTGATGTTCCTCCAGATGGGGTTCATGCAACCACAGTTGATAGTGGTTGCCCAGCAGGTGCATGAAACTGTCCTGCAGCCTACCTGCAGGTCCTGGTCTCCCTCTTGGCAGAAGCCCAGCCCATGACCTCTGGGAACACCCTGCCTGGTCTCTGCTCCACACATGATGGTAACAGAGAATTGGACCACGAGCATCCAGAACCCAACCTGGCCTGACAGGAACAGCAAATGCATTACAACCAGTACTGGTGGCCACACACCACACACTAGCCATGATGGGTTCAGCCCTCAAAAAGACGGGCACAACTTGTTTGCTTGGGATATTGTTGAACTTGGTAGTGGGCACATCTCACTTGCCGACTGACAAGTTGCAGTGCATAACTGAACTCCTAGAAGGGATGAGCAGGCCAAAGAAGGCTACACTGAAGCAAATTTAGTCACTGCTGGCCCACCTGAACTTTCCTTCAGGATGGTGTTGCCAGGAGTGTCTTTTGTGTGAGATTAGCTCAGATCACAGCAGGCGTGCCCAAACTACACCATCACATCTGTCTCATGAAGGGTCCCAAGAAAGACTTGTGTGCTTAGCTACAGTTCCCTAAAAAATTAATGGGTTTTCCATGTTGTAGGGACAGCTCCTAATAGGCGAAGAGTTGCAGTTCCACTCAGATGCATCAGGAGCACTTGGCTCAATTCCTGGAGGTGTAATTTGGGGAGCTGGCCCTGCAAGCAGATTTATGGCTGACAGAGTTGCCATACAGTCTTTCGGATCTTGGAGAAGGAACATAATCTCCTCTGTGATCAAGTTGGTGGCCCCAAGGCATTATTCAGGGACTACATGGTCATTCTGCCCACTGAATTATAAACCATATAATTCATTGCTACGTGGGCTTGAGGACTTGTTGCTCCATCCCTATTGAGATGGGGCAAACTGCTACCTGTGTGCATGTGTGTACCACTTTGTTATTTATTTATTTATTTATTTATTTATTTATTTATCAACTAGCTGTACCCGCCACACGTTGCTGTGGCCAACCTTCCCTCCCTCTGTCTCTCCTTCTTTCCTTCTTCCTTCCTTCTCTTCCTCTTCCCTTCCTCCACACCTTTCTTTCCCTTCATCTTTCCCTTCACTCTTTCTTCTCTACATATTCTTGGACGGCAACTCTCAGCAGTCCTCCTGATTGATCTATCTACCTACCTACCTATCTCAATCTAATCTATCTATCTGGAGGATTGCTGGGAGTTGCAGTCCAGGAATAGGAAATTTGAAACGTACAGGGATTGGGATGCTCTCAAAAAATCCAAGGAGAATAAAGCTTGCAAATGCACTTGGAAGCAGTGCATTTGGATCATCCTCCTCTCCTAAAGGGCTTGCTCTAGGGGATGCTGGGAGTTTTAGTCCGGAAGAGAGTGTGAATATGCTATTGTGTGGGTTGTTTTTTTTTTTGGCTGGGGAGTCATTTTGCGCATGCGCTAGAGCATCTTTTTGCTTTTTTGGCTTTTTAAGTCCCTTCTGCTATGTTTTTCAGTGTTTTTATGAGTGATGGTCACTCATTGGCCTGATAGATGTATTGTGTCCTAATTTGGTGTCAATTTGTCCAGTGGTCTTTGAGTTATGTTAAACCCACAAACTAACATTACATTTTATTTATATAAATAATACTTCATTTAAAAAAATAAACCGCATGTACAAGACATCTTGGGAAAGCTTAAGGTCACAAGTAAGGCATCCATGTTAACTCAAGGGTGAAGTCTTTAAGATACACTTTAGTCATTCAATATGGCCATGGCATGATGTACTGTGCTTTGATGGTAAACCTCAGCTTTCCAATCGTCATGGAGCTCAATGGTTGTCAATTGCAGCATGGTAGGGAGGTATCTCTGATTTATCTGGTCACTGCTTTCTGCCTAGGATGCTGAAACTGCATCACAGAAGTGGAACTCACTGTCCAAATAGGGAGCATTCAGATTGTAATCAAAACTAATACAGTTGAATATGGCCAGAAGGAAAAAAATGAAAGCCAAATAAATCCTTAATTTAGCTGTTCCCCATAGATCAGGACTAGTTTCCATAGTCTGATAAGCATGTTTCCATAGTCAGTAATTTTCAATCCTGCATTTATCTAAGTCAGTATAATTACTTGTGCTTCTTTTTTATCTGTCTCTAAACAGTTAAAGTGGCTTCAAAGAAAACAGTGAAGAAAGACCTATTATTAATACCTCCTGTGCCTTTCATAACATGGGCAACAGCTTCACACAGTAGAGTTGCCATTTCTTTACAGCTCACCATTCTGGCTTTGAATCTACAGAGGAAGGAACCAAATAAACCAGTTTTTCCTAGTCAGAGGTTCTAGCATGTCAACGTGGAAAGAGATGGCTAAGACAAATTTAAGACTCTTTTGGAAAGTGATGGCATTTGTGGTGGGAATGTTACTGTCTCACGCGGTAGGTAAGAATCCTAGTGTTCAGTGTTCCTTCAGAGAACCTGTCCGAACAGAATATCAATATTATCAACCCGGAGAGATCATCATTGGAGGAATTATGTCTCAGATCTTTATATTTTCAAAGAAAATAACATTTGAAAGACCTCCATTTCAAGAAATTTCTGATGTTCCTCTGTAAGTAGCTCAGTATTTCATTACATAATGAATTTGAAATGCATGCATTTTTCAATTTGCTTGTTGCCCCACCCGCTTGTTGCAAAGCTTAAGATGCAGGGAGGGGGGGGCAGTTTGAATGACCCCATGAAGGAGTCAGATTTGGTTGGGGCCAGCTGGTTTGTGGCCCATACATGTGAGGAGGTGGAGCTCTGTTCCCCTCTTTCAGTTTGCCTCGTGCCAGCGTGACCCACCCTCCCGCCTTATGGACAGTGTGAGTATAGACTGGTCGCACAAGGGCCGGGTAGGATTTTTTTTCTCCCAAGTTTGCATTGGGATTTTTTTCCTACCCCACACTGTTTCAGATGCGTATGGGAATTGGCTTTGGGATAGTAAAGGTAAAGGTTTCCCCCTGTTTCTACTCTAGAGGAGAGGTGCTGCAGACACTAGCACCTGCACTTTCTCTCCCGGGCTTGCACCATGCCACACACTCTTTCCAAGGCATTTAAAGGAGGCTTTAAAGCTGTTTCTACTCTAGAGGAGAGGTACTTCAGACACTAGTACCTGCACTTTCTCTCCCGGGCCTGCACCATGCCACACACTCTTTTCAAGGCATTTAAGGTAAAGGTAAAGGTCTCCCCCTAACATTAAGTAAAGTCATGTCTGACTCTGGGGTTTGGTGCTCATCTCCATTTCTAAGCCAAAGAGCTGGTATTGTCCGTAGACATTTCCAAGGTCATGTGGCCAGCATGACTGCATGGAGCGCCATTACCTTCCCGCCAAAGTAGTACCTATTGATCTACTCACATTTGCATCTTCAAACTTCTAGGTTGGCAGAAGCTGGGGTGAACAGCGGGAGCTCATGCTTTGGGATGGTGCCATTTAAATAGATTTCCTTGAATCATTAATAAGATTCCAAGGCATGATAAAGGTTAAATAATCATTGTAGGCACCATGGCACCCCTGCCTTAGCAGGTGAAGGGTGGACTCCCACAAAAGTCCCTATAAGTTTCATAAAATGGGAGCTACCCTTGGGGATGGATTGGGGGTTCTCACCTTCAGGATGGCCTTCCAAATATGATCGGCCAACAGATGCAGCCAAAGAATTTTGGTTGGTTCTCGGGACCCTTGGTGCATGCATATCTTTGGAGGTGATCGGAGGGAGTGACAAGGCTCACTAGGTGGCCATTAACCCATGAGTTCCACTGAATGTGTCTACAGATTTTCCCTTTACAGGTTATTACAGGTTCTTTCAATAAATAGATCAGCAAAATGGCCCTTTAGATCCATTTTCTTGTGTCTGGTGGTGCATTACCAACCTTCCCTCTGTCTCACTCTCTGCCTCCCTCACATTCTTACACTCTCCTTTATGATGGGTGAGTGTTACATTTGATTGAACTGGAGCAAATGCTCTCATTTGAAGAAGAGAGACAATTATAAAGAAAATATACCTTCTTACAGGCTATTTACGCACCTCTATCAGCACATTGCAGCCTTGGCATTTGCTGTAAAGGAGACCAATGACAACCGACAACTCTTTCCCAATGTTACCCTGGGTTTCCACATCTATAACAACTGTTTCACTGAAATTGGGACCTACCTTGCTGCAATGGAACTTTTGTCTAGACGGCGCAGACTCGCTGTCAATTACAAATGTGAGACCGAGAATCTTCCAGCAGCAGTGATTTCAGGACCCATCACTGACTATTGTCTTCACTTGGCAACTATCCTGTGTATATACAAGATACCACAAGTAAGATGTGTATACAAGCATGAAATCTTAACCATCTGTTAAAGCCTAAACTCTAATCCATCAAGTTGTAGGTTCATAATGGGGAAAATTGTGCATAAATATAACATAATGAAATGGGAGAGTTTGGTTTAGCATTCTGACTGACATGTTACATTGCTTCATACAGAAGACTGTTTTTCATTCTCCATTCGTATTTCCACAGTCCAACATAAAATAGGAAGCTAATGCTTAAATATACCATAAAGATACCAGATCTCATCTGATCTTAATATTTGGATGGGAGGCTGACAATGAAACCAGGATACAAGTACAACAGACTATATTTCTGAGAAACTGGAAAATTCATATCTGAATATGCCTTGCTTAAGAAAACCTTTGAAATTCATGTGGTCACCATACGTTGGCAGCTGACTTGAGGGTATCCACAGGTTTTGCATGTAATAGTTCAGTCTTTGAGATTTTGATCACTTGATCGTGATCCTTATGTACCTCCGATTTAGGATGACTGAATGACAATGAGAGTAGTTTAGCAGTGGAATATGCTGCCTCGGAATGTGGTGCTCTCTCATTCTCTACAGGTTTTTAAGCAGAGGGTGGATGTGTATCTGTTGTGGATGTTTTGATTCTATGTTTCTGCATGACAAGGGGTTGGGATGGATGGTGCTTGGGGTCTCTTCCAATTCTATAATTCTATTCATTTGTGTGTAGATCTTATTTGGGTTCTGTGGGATGGAGGGTTCTTTCGCCTTATTCTGCCCAATCCCAACCAACTCTTTGTCCTCATTTACTTTGAAGTCCCCAAGTTGTCTTACACTACCACTACTTTCTTGGTGAGTAGAGAGGAATCGAAAAGCACCTGGTAACCCCATCCCCATAGCCAGATGCATGGGAATTAAAGAAGTGTTAGGATTTCTGGAGAAACTCCATGGACGTGTAGCCCAATGCTTCCCCAATCTTGTTGAGACCATGAGACATGCCATTTGCCTGTTCACCCCCAAAATAACAAGACCACACAACAATGTTTTGGGTTAAAATTGGGGCAACTTTTATTAAACGTTACCTGTTTAACTTTATGCCTTAACCTAAATTAACAAGTGTCATGAACTTGGTGTATCAAAGCCGAGGAATTGTCCCAGCCGGACTTACTCCTCAGCTATTTGGGGCGATATACCTAAACCGGGCAACCACTAAGGGAAACGTGAAACAAGTCTTTCTCAAACTTGTCGAGACCAGACTCTCCCACTTTCTGGGCCATCCGATTTCACCTCACTGAATAAATTAACTTTCAGGTGACTGTTTTAGCTAATGGCCCGCACCCCTAAAAGGTGGGTGCCTTCGGTGAAGACCAGCTTTTGTATTTCCCTAGCTATTTTTCACTAACTCCTATTTATAAAACACAGCATCCCATCGAGCCCCTAAACAGTATAGGGTAGGCAAGACCCTTTTTTCTGGATAGTTCCATTTGGAACCATCCATTCTCTACTTCGGGAGAGGAGGCAAATTGCTCTCTCCCCCTAGCACTGCCAGGGGTAGAAAGTCCCTTGAGAAGATCTCAGATTATGGATAGAATGATGCAGCACAAGGTAGTCTTTCAGAAATAATGGGTGGACAGTGTTTAATTCAAAAGCAAGATCTTGAATTTGAGCTTGGATATAAACATAAAGCTACTCCAGTTGATTATTTATTTATTTATTTATTTATTTAGTACACTTGTATACCGCTAATATCTCAGCCTAAAACGGCGACTCATTGCGGTTTACAATATTAAAAACAATAATATTCCGATAAAAATATAAAACACATACATATACAATACACAGTATTGGGCCACCAATACAGACCAATGCATCTCTTAACTTAAATCATAATCCAATTTCGTTGTCTGTGATTACCAGTCCTTGATCAAAACTTCATCGCATCGGATTAGTTTCTGACCACTGTTCAGGTCCACAGATTCTGACTACACATGCTAGGGAACTTTAACATGAGCTAACCTGATAGTGACAACTCCTTGATTTGGAGTTCAGATGCTCCAGTGGAAGTCAATTTGCCAGTGCCTTTCAGCACAGTTAGTACTAGAAACTCCATTGCATGAACAAAAATAAAATCAACATTCAATGACACAATATTTAAAGGGAATAGAAATGTTGATCCAGATTTCATTAATCTTCATGTTCCTCTCAATTTGTGTGTGTGTGTGTAGCTTATCTTTGGATCATCTCCGATGGTAAATAATGAAGTGCAAGGTCTTTTCTTCCACCATATGTTTCCCCAAAATGGTTATCAGTATGGAGGGATTTTGCGGTTACTCTTGCACTTCAACTGGATTTGGATTGGAGTAGTTTGTCGAGATGATGATACTGGACAGCGATTTGTACAATATGTTCTTCCCATGTTTGCTCAGCAGGGCATCTGCTTCCAGTTCATTGTAAGAATCCCCAAGCCCGACTTTACTAATACTCTTGATGCAATCGTGGAAAAATATAATGAAATGATTACAAATGTTATGGGAAGTACTGCCAATGTGATTCTTGTGTATGGTGAAACTACTACTATTATGGTTATAAGAATGATGATATATGTTGCAGAAGTAATGGATACACCCCTGCGAATTAGTACAAAAGTGTGGGTTATGACAGCTCAGATGGAGTTTGCAATGCTTTCTTTTGTAAAAGACTGGGATATAGACTTCCTTCATGGGGCTATTTCCTTTGAAGTTCATTCAAAGGCACTTTCAGGATTCAAAAGCTTTCTTCAGACTAAAAACCCTCTCTCAGCAAAAAAAGACAAGTTTCTGTGGACGTTCTGGGAAGAGGTATTTAACTGCGACTTGCCTAATCCTTCATTAGACAAGAAGGATAATATGTTCTGCACTGGGAAGGAGGAGCTAGAGGCGCTTCCTGCTTCTGTTTTTGAAATGAGCATGACCAGCCACAGCTACAGCATCTACAATGCTGTCTATGCCATTGCACATGCTTTGCAGGCCATGTATTCAACTAAATTGAAATGGAGAGCAGTGTCGAACGATGCAAGAGAGGAACTTTGGAACAGATACTCATGGCAGGTAATCTCATGAATGCAGAAGGGTTTACTAATTCAGGAAATTGCTCTCTGAATAAACTGTAATATGTGTCTCTAGCTCAGTGTTTCTCAACCTGGGCGTTGGGACCCCTGGAGGGGGGTTTGTGAGGGGGTGTCAGAGGGGTCACCAAATTCCATCAGAAAACAAAAATATTTTCTGTTGGTCATGGGGGTTCTGTGTGGGAAGTTTGGCCCAATCCTATCATTGGTTGGGTTCAGAATTCTCTTTGATTCTAGGTGAACTATAAATTCCAGCAAATACAACTCTCAAATGTCTAGGTCCATTTCCTCCAAACTCCACCAATGTTCGCATTTGGACATTTTGAGTATTTATGCCAAGTTTGATCCAGATCTGTCATTGTTTGAGGCCACAGTGCTCTCTGGATGTAGGTGAACTACAATTCCAAAACTCAAAGTCAATGTCCACGAAATATTTTCTGTTGATCGCAGTTCTGTGTGCCAAGTTTGGTTCAATTACATCATTGCTGGACATCAGAGGTTCAAATCTGGGGAGAGTGCGGATGAGCTCCGTCTGTCAGCTCAAGCTCCCCATGCGGGTACATGAGAGAAGCTTCCCACAAGGATGGTAAAACATCAGAAATATCCGGGTGTCTTCTGGGCAACATCCTTGCAGACGACCAATTCTCTCACACCACAAGTGACTTGTAGTCACTCCTGACACACACAAAAAATCCATATTCAGAATGTTGCCATGACAGTACTACATTGGGGATGGAGTGGGAGAACGAATGTGACCATTGCACAATGGGTTTTATGCCCATTGGGGCAAATATGAATTGTGAGCCAATGTAGAATGGTACTGTTATGATTTGGGAAGCCTGAAATAGAGGGCTGATGCACCTTCGGTGACAAAACCTGATAATGTGAACCATTATCATATATGTTTCATCTTTCCATGCACTTTTCCATCAGTTCCTTCCTATTCCATTTAGCTCCACCAGTTTCTGAGAAGAGTTACATTTAACAATAGTGCTGGGGAAGAGGTTTCCTTTGATCAAAATGGGGAATTATTAGCAGGATTTGATATTATCAACTGGGTCACATTTCCAAATCAGTCTTTTGTGAAAATAAAAGTTGGTACAATGGAACCACAGGCTCCGGCAGACAAGAGTTTTATTATTCAAGACGATGCCATTGTGTGGCCCAGCATCTTCAACCAGGTAAGTTCACTTTCGTGGAGAATTCAGATATTTCTCCTGGGATGAAGGTCATTCTTCAAATGTTGAAATAGGTGTCTCTCCTGGTCAGACTGAATGTGATGGGGAAGATTTTTTTTTTTACCATTGCACTGATCTAAATGTCATGACAAAAGAGTTATCCTGCAGTGACAAAACCACCTGAATGTCATTATTAGTAATGGCAAAATAATGTTAGCCAAAATCCTGTATCACATATGATGAATACTAGACTCAATATTTGCAACTTTAAACATCTGTAACCCTTCCAAATACCAGGTTCAACAATGATGAGGGCGTGAGATATGCATCTTCCTTTTGTCTAGATAACTCATTTTCACTGAGGGTCAATTCGAACTTACGGTTGCTTTCAAAAGACTATTTATAATTGTATAAATGTCACTACTCCTTAACATATAATTAAAGAACTGGAGACACCATACAGCCACCTCATAAGGTGAATCTGTCATTGGGTTATCTTGACATTCTTCTAAAGCTGATAGAATGTGACTTGTCCAAAATAACCCAGTGGGTAGCCATACCTGGGAGGGAGTTCAAACCCTTGTCCCTCAAAGGGTTATTCCAAAGTTCAGACCATGCTGGTACAGTGATGGCACTACATAAACAAATGATAATAAGTGAGTGCCTATGATGGCCAGCTGCGCCCATTCCTTGGAAAGTCTGACTTGGCCATGGTGGTCCACGCTCTGGTTACATCCCATATAGACTACTGCAACGCTCTCTACATGGGGTTGCCTTTGAAGACTGTTCAGAAGCTCCAAATGGTCCAACGGGTGGCAGCCAGGTTGCTAACAGGAGCGGTGCCCAGGGAGCATACAACTCTGTTGTGCCAGCTCCACTGGCTCCCAATTTGCTACTGAGCAAAATTCAAAGTGCTGGCTTTAGCCTATAAAACCCTAAATGGTTTTGGCCTTGCTTACCTGTCCGAACATATCCCTCCTTACGAACCCTCTAGGAATTTAAGATCTTCTGGCGAGGCCCTGCTCTCGGCCCTGCCATCTTCACAGGTTCGATTGGTGGGGATGAGGGATAGGGCCTTCTCACCGGTGGCCCCTTGGTTATGGAATGCCCTCCCCAGGGACATTAGATCAGCCCCCACCTTCTTAACGTTTCGCAAAAAAGTTAAAACCTCGCTATATGAGCAGGCTTTCCCAAACACAGTGTAGCTATTAAAGTCTGATCTCGGAATGGTTGGACAACGTGACTGGATAATGACTGGTAATGAAATGCGGAGGACTTAGGGTGTTTATTGTGTTACTGATGTTAATTGTAATGAATGTTTTACCTGTGTTAAATGTTTTTAATGTTTAAATTATTTTTGTACTGTTGTGAGCATCGAATTGTGCCGTTTTTTAAACCGCCATGAGTCGCCCTCGGGCTGAGAATGGCGGTATAGAAACATAGTAAATAAATAAATAAAATAAAAAATAAAAACAACAACAACCACAACAACAACAACGAGTAGCTAGGCAGTCCCAATTTATGGGCATCTGACTTACATACGACTCATAGTTACAAATGGGGGCAATGCCTGCTTTATATGATGCAATAGGATTCAGATTTTCACAAGACTCTCAGGGTTTTTTTTTAAATGAACAGGAACTACCCCTCTCTAGATGTAATGAAAAATGCCAGATGGGCTCTAATAAAAGAAAGAAGGAAGGGAAGCCATTTTGCTGCTATGATTGCATTCCATGTCCAGAGGGCAAGATTTCAAACTACAAAGGTAGGAAACATAGGATTTTCTATCTATGAGTTGAATATCATTCATACATCTCAGAACTTGGTCTTTGAATATATTATAAAGGTTTAAATTTACTGCAAGATGACTGATATGAAAATACTTTTCAGTTATTACAAGGAAACTATATCTGATGTGAATAACAGTTGATATCTGGACTGTGTGGATAAGCAAGGGGTTAAACCTCAGCCGTTCCTTTGCACTGAAATTGTATTAGTTCCTTGGTAGAAGACAGTGTGGCAAAACAAAAAAGTGAGGCCTTACTGTTACTCGTAGCCAAGATATCCTCCTGAACAGACTAACCAAATTTCAAAATCTAGGGTTTTGCTTGTGCTTTGATATCTACATTAGCTAGCATACTTTTTGTAGAGCAACCTCAATGAGCCGGTTTTCACTTTGAAACTTCTTGTTCTTCAGACATTGATGAATGCTTTGAATGCTCTGAATATCAGTATCCAAATGAGGACAAAGATGGATGTTTTCCCAAAGAAATTATTTTCCTGTCTTTTGGAGAGCCCCTGGGGATGATTTTAGCTGTGTTTGCTCTCAAATTTTCTCTCATCACCGTCTTCATTCTGGGCATCTTCGTGAAGTACAAGGACACTCCTATTGTCAGAGCAAACAATAAGAACCTCACCTACATTCTCCTGACTTCCCTCCTGCTTTCCTTCCTTTGTGCTTTCCTATTCATTGGTCAACCTGGGAAGGTGACATGCCTCCTTCAACAAGCTGCTTTCGGTGTGATTTTCTCAGTGGCGCTTTCTTCCATTTTGGCCAAAACCATCACGGTCATTCTGGCTTTCATAGCCACCAAGCCAGGGTCCAGGATAAGGCAATGGATGGGGAGGAGATTGGCATATTCCATTATTATTTTTTGCTCCCTTACCCAAGCTGCTATTAACATGGCATGGTTGGCAACCTCTCCTCCATTCCCAGACCTTGACATGTACTCAGTGAGTCAAAAAATTGTACTCAAATGTAATGAAGGCTCAAGCAGTATGCTTTACACTCTTTTGGGTTTTATGGGTTTCCTCGCTCTTGTCAGCCTCACTTTGGCTTTCTTAGCCCGGAAGTTGCCTGACAGTTTTAATGAGGCCAAGTTCATCACCTTCAGCATGTTGGTCTTTTGCAGTGTTTGGCTGTGCTTCATTCCAACATACCAGAGCACGAAGGGCAAAAACATGGTGGTTGTGGAGATTTTCTCAATCTTGGCTTCCAGTTTTGGTTTACTGAGCTGTATCTTTTCACCAAAATGCTACATTATTTTGCTGAAACCTGAGCTGAACAGCAAGGAGCAACTAATAAAAAGAAGGAATTGAAGAATGTTCCTTTTCTTCCTATACACTTATTGTTGCCCAGCATGCAATCCCATTGTGTTTACTAGAGCATAATTAGGGATTATACATACATTCCCCCCTCCCCCAAGATAATTGTCTCAGTTGAAAGAGACTTGCTTAGCATAGCTATGTGATTCAAAATGAGGAAAAAGGCTTAATGTACAGAATAAAGGGGAAAGATAAATATAAGGAATTAAACAAGATTATCCTCATATTCAGACATTCATAGTAAGTACAACAAAATTTGTAAACTGTTCCCATGGAGGAGAGGGAGGAAAGGGGAAAGAGGAGAAATGATGTAAACATGTGTAACTAATGGAAAACTTCTGAGGATGCCTGCTATGTTGTTGTTGTTCATTCGTTCAGTCGTCTCCGACTCTTCGTGACCTCATGGACCAGCCCACGCCAGAGCTCCCTGTCGGCCGTCACCACCCCCAGCTCCTTCAAGGTCAGTCCAGTCACTTCAAGGATGCCATCCATCCATCTTGCCCTTGGTCGGCCCCTATTCCTTTTTCCTTCAATTTCCCCAGCATAATTGTCTTCTCTAGGCTTTCCTGTCTCCTCATGATGTGGCCAAAGTACTTCAACTTTGTCTCTAGTATCTTTCCCTCCAGTGAGCAGTCGGGCTTTATTTCCTGGAGGATGGACTGGTTGGATCTTCTCTCAGTCCAAGGCACTCTCAGCACTTTCCTCCAACACCACAGCTCAAAAGCATCGATCTTCCTTCGCTCAGCCTTCCCTAAGGTCCAGCTCTCACATCCGTAGGTTACTACAGGGAATACCATGGCTTTGACTAGGCGGATCTTTGTTGCCAGTCTGATGTCTCTACTCTTTACCTATTTTATCGAGACTGGACATTGCTCTCCTCCCAAGAAGTAAGCGTCTTCTGATTTCCTGGCCACAGTCTGCATCTGCAGTAATCTTTGCACCTAGAAATACAAAGTCTGTCACGGCCTCCACGGTTTCTCCCTCTATTTTCCAGTTGTCAATCATTCTTGTTCCCATAATCTTGGTTTTTTTGACGTTTAGCTGCAACCCGGCTTTTGCGCTTTCTTCTTTCACCTTGATTAGAAGGCTCCTCAGCTCCTCCTCGCTTTCGGCCATCAGAGTGGTGTCATCTGCATATCTGAGGTTGTTTCTTCCAGCAATTTTCACCCCAGCTTTGCATTCATCAAGCCCCGCACATCGCATGATGTGTTCTGCATACAAGTTAAAAAGGTTGGGTGAGAGTATGCAGCCTTGCCGTACGCCTTTCCCAATCTTGAACCAGTCTGTTGTTCCGTAGTCAGTTCTTACTGTTGCTACTTGGTCCTTGTACAGACTTCTCAGGAGAGAGACAAGGTGGCTTGGGATGCTATAGATGCAGGCAAAACATCAAGAGAGAATGCTTCTAGAACATGGCCATATAGCCTGAAAAACCTACAACAACCCAATGATTCTGGCCATGAAACCCTTCAACAATACAATGTTTTGAATGTTTGTATAATTTTGTTAACACTATCCGCAATAAATTTGATAATAAAAAACCCAAAAAAATAATTGGGGAGGAAGACAAGATGCATAAAAGGCACTGGGTGGAAATCATGTTGCCTCCCAGATGTTGCTGGACTCCAAGTCACAGCTGTCAAGTTGATAGGGCTGTATTAGATGTAAATGTATTGTCTGTGAATGCCATTGTGCATTTCTGTGCAAAAAATACAGTTCCGGCCCTACTTACCTCTCCGAACGCATCTCCACCTATGAACCGACCAGGACATGAAGATCGTCTGGGGAGGCCCTGCTCTCGATCCCGCCTGCATCACAGGCACGCCTGGTGGGGACGAGGGACAGGGCCTTCTCGGTGGTGGCCCCTCGACTGTCGAATGCCCTACCTGTAGACATCAGACAGGCCCCTTCGCTGTTGGCGTTCCGGAGGAAGGTGAAGACCTGGTTCTTTGAACAAGCTAAACAGTGCAATTGAATATATGAATACGGTGCAATCGAACATAGGAACATGGAACAAAGGATTATGAGAAAGGATTCTGATTTGTTGTTGAGGCATTATGATAATGATTGTTTATTGATATTGACTGTTATGTAAATGTGTTTTAATTGCCTATAATACTGTCTTGTGATAATTTGTACTATGTAAACCGCTGTGAGTCACCTAAGGGCTGAGAAAAGCGATATAGAAATAAAGTAAATAAATAAATAAATAAATAAATAAATAAATAAATAAATTCTAATGCACATGTGATCACAGCACATTGCACCAAAGAGTTAAGCAAGTAGAGATGTGAATCTAAAAGGACTGCTGAGTTATGAACATATGACAGGCATGATGAGAACTGTACTATTTCCTGCGGTCCCAGTGGGTATCAAAAGAAGTGGCAGGCATGTGCGTGCCCTCTTTTCAATGATCTCTTGCCAAGTGCGTATCTTGCTATGGTCATCACTTCTCTGAGTATATCTCCATATATACTGATAGAAGATGTGATGTAAATAGTTGTATATACAGCAACAAGTGAAGAATAAAACCTCCACAGGAAAAAAAAATGAGATAAACAAAAAGCCTTTTCACATGGAGCATTTTGATAGTTCAGAAATAATCAAAACTTTGACAAATTGATTTCCCCTTACAGCTCTGTTTTTCCAGCTAACTTGACCACTCACAGTACTCCATGGAAGGGAATATTTATCTTATTTACAAATGACACAAAACTGACAAGGTTGGTTAACACAGTGAAAAAAGGAACAGAGTTTAAATTGATCTAGGCAAACTCTGTTAAATGATAGGATTCAGCATCTTGGCTTACCACTTAGAATTTTAGAATGAGTCCAAGATCAGATTGATCAACTCAATAATCTGGAGATCACAATCTACCATTGCTAGTGCTGGTCATTAGGGCTGGGCGATGTCATTCGTTAATTTTGTATATCGTTAAGTTTTTCGTTAATATTCAATATACGAAACGATATCAAAATTATTTTCAAACACGGAAGTGTATTTTAAATATCGAAACAGCATGCGCCAAATATTCTCGTATTTCCGTCCATTTCGGAAATACCTAAGATGGCGATGCTTGCTGCTCCTCCTCCTCCTTTGGAAGGGGCTCCTTTCCTTCCAGAGTGAGCTTTAGGGAAGAAGGCAGGGGCCCTGCGAGGGAGGCTTCGGCTATGACTGTCATTGCCGTCTCCATCCCTTCCTTCCTCCAATCCTCCGACCCTTTCTCCTCCTCCTCTTCAGGCCGAGCCGCTTGAGCCGCTCGGAGATGCCGAGGGCGAGGGGGAGGAAGAGGAGGAGGAGCAGCAGGCTGCGCCGCTCCGGTGGGGGCGGGGAGGAAGAGCAGCCGGGGGAGACCTCTCCCGCCGACCTCCTCACTCCACTCCCAACCACCCACTCCCCGTGAGTATATGGAAATAATATATATATATTTATTATATTTATTATTATTATTAAGAATGGATGGCCATCTTTCAGTAGTGCTCACTGTGCCTTCCATGCACGGAGGCAGAAAGTGTGTTGTTATTATTATTGAGAAGCATTGTCAAACCAGAATAGAGATTTCACCCCTCCTCTCTCTCTCTCTTTCCCCCCTCTTTCCTTCTCCGAGGTTAAAACTATTATTTAAAACTATTATTTTTACGTTGCGCAACCGCGGGCGCCATCTTAACGAATCAATTCGTTAATATTAACGAAATTTCGTAAATATCAAACTTTTAAAAGGGAAAATTTCGGAAATATTTTAAATAACGAGACACAAAAACACCCCAAAAACGAATCGATTTTAGAAACAAATTTTTCCGTTGTTACCTAGGCCTACTGGTCATCATTACTTTCAACAGGAGTTGTATGATATTGTGATCCAAAAATAAATGGGTAAAGATCAATAGACCTGTGGAATAATAAAATAGACTCTGTGATGTTATCTGTGCTTCTACTGCTGGCTCATTCTCAAGTTTTCAGAAAATTCACATGATAGGAGCATGATGTCATAGTTGGAATGTTGGGTCAGGACTCTTGGAGACTGAGGTTCAAACTATGAAAAACCAGAGTGATCGTGGGTGAAATATGTTCTCAGACTTAAAGAAGATAGTCTTATCCCCCTCTGAAGAAATGTGTGAAAGGTTTGCCTTAGGGCAGTGGTTCTCAACCTGTGGGTCCCCAGGTGTTTTGGCCTACAACTCCCAGAAATCCCAGCCAGTTTACCAGCTGTTAGGATTTCTGCGAGTTGAAGGCCAAAACCACTGTCTTAGGGTTAGCATAAGTTAGAAATGACTTGAAAATGCACAACAAGAACATGTAATATGGAATATGAACCAATTCTCATTCAATGCTTGATTACTGATGAGATGACAATGATGGTATTGATGATGGAGGACAACAACTTTCATTATATATAACATTACTCATACAATAATAATAGCAATAATAATAATTTTATTTCTCACCTGCCTCTCTTTGTGGCTCAAGGAGGGTTAAAGAACAATTAACACACATACACATTGAAAAAATGCCACAGATACACACATTAAAATGTATTTCTATAAAAGATACATATTAAAACATATTTCTAGAAAATACATATTAAAATAAACAAAAGAGATTAAACAAAGGACACACAATTAAAATTCATGTTCTAAAACTGTCTGGGTGGGTCTGCTGGAAGAGATAGGTCTTTAGATCAGTGATTCTCAACCTGGGGTTTGGGACCCCTGGGGGGGGGTCACGAGGGAAGTTTCAGAAGGGTCGCCAAAGACCATCAGAAAACACATATTTCTGATGGTCTTAGGAACCCCTTTGGCAGAGGAGGCTGAAGATTTCTCCCCTAAATCACTTCCTCCCAAATTTCCTCCCAAATTCTTCCAGTATTTTCCGTTGGTCATGGGGGTTCTGTGTGGGAAGTTTGGCCCAATTCTGTCATTGGTGGGGTTCAAGGGGCTCTTTCAATTTAGGTGATCTATAAATACCAGCAACTGCAACTCCCAATGTCTTCCCCAAA